GACACTGTCTGCGCAAGCATTCAACTCACCACTATGTGGCATTGATGTTACTGTATCTGTCAACGTTATATGCCGCGCGTCATCGAGTCAACGCAACATTAATTAATACTCAGGTGCTGGAAGATTACTTTTTTTTTCCAAGACGAAAATATATTCTCTATCAATTGCTATGAAGTTGATGCCGCCAGAGACCGCGTAACCGGAACGGAACGAAACGCCGCCGTGGTTACTGACCTCGCGAAGCACTCTTACGCTTGCACTACTTACTAACTTGGTATTAGAGACATTTCCTAGGCTCGCAGTCATAAAAAATCGCAGCATCCTCCAAAAATGTCTTCGTCATAATCGCCTGGCATTTGTTTTGTCTTTATTTTCCAATTGAGAAATTTTATTCATCAATATCGTGGTAATAATTTTCACATTTATAATTATCTCATAATCGCTAGGATTGGGATCATTTTTATTGGTCGAGTCAATCAAATCTATATTAACAAAGTAAGACAAAGAACATTGATGGCAACAACTTTGAGTTCATTAACCCCCTTCCTCCTCTTCCTCGTCCACGTCGTCGTCCTCTTCCTCCTCCTCCTCCACCGCCACTGAAAATACTCTTACATCGTGGTTGCATGCCCAGCAGGTCGGTGCACTAGTTTACTTTACGCTCACTCGCGACTTACACTCGATGTACTCATGGATGCACTCTCGGTCTTTTACTCCCCACTGTCGTCACAGCCTATCGTATACCTTTTCCTATGTATTCCTTTCGTTCTTTCGTATTGGACTTGTTCCTATTTCGTTGCTAGGATAGTTGCTCCACCCATATATTTTCTTGCATACCTAATATATTTTTCCGATTTACGGGGTACAATTGACAAGTTGAAAATGCAAGAGACTCCTACCCTCAATGGGATTTTTGTCTGGTTTGGCATTCAACTAAAAATCACCTGTTGACTCAAAACTTTGAGCACAGGCATCATAAATGAAGTGGCACACACATACACACATCATATATCTATATATATATGTGTAAAAGATAATCTTTAGCAACTGAGTTCTTTGACCGCTCTGCTTCTTGATTTTTCATTACACTACATCTCTTCTCGAATACTCAAAGTATAAAATAAAAAAGAAAAAAAAATCAAAGTATTTAATAATTTGATCAATTGATTAAATAATAATTGAATAAACAAACGATAAGAAGAAGCAGATAGATATATTGAAAAGTGGAAAACATGAGCGGTGAATATGTATACGATTTGAAAAGGAAATTATCGTGACACATTCGTTTTTACACGATAGGCTCTTACAGTATCACGAATTTCAGGTGAATCTCAACTCATATGCGGCAAAAGTCGGTAGTGTTCTCTATACAAGGCATTGACCCTGCGGTCACACATATACACAGGTCGACGTCCTCACGCTGTATTACATATACCGCAAACATTTCAATGTATATTTCATATAAAGAAGAAGTTTACGTGTATGTGTTTGGTAATATAAATAAAATTCATTCTCATCTAGCGGTATACTATTGGAAACCGTTAAATGTGTGCCGGTTTTCGAAGGCCTTACGTAATTCCTGTGATTTTAACGGAATCACTTTCGTTGGTCTAACGGGGCCCTTACAAATGTCATTGGGCAATCAACCTTTTTTCCCTACAAATTTTTCAATCTTATATTTTCATACAAATTAATGTAAGCATAAGCATGCACAATTGTCCTATTGAGGTAGAGGGCCCGGCCCGGCCCGGCCCGGCCCTTCCTCATTCTTAAAGGACAAAGTCGTATCCACATTCACTCTGGACGAGCACTTGGCACAGACTTAGTTGGGAACGTCAAGACCTAGTTCGAAGGTAGAACGCGACTGGCGAACGGCACTAGGTCACGCATCGTGCAGATCCTGGATGGATGTGTGTAGTACGCTTGTTTTCATGGATCATGGACTAACCTTTTCATTAATACCTTGCCACCTGTCTTTCATCATCTTTCAAATTTTCCATTATAACATCCGTAAGAGATGAAGCATAATCAATATCATAGTCATCAATCACTTTTATTTTTTCTAATCAAACAATAACAATTACAATAACTACAATGGAATTGTCATTGATTTTTATTTTCTCGACGATTATCACCATAGCACCTGATATACGACTGATGTCAAGAAATCTGGGCCACCCATAGCCGTTTACATAGTGTGTAGCACTCGGAAGAGAATCGTTTTTCCATTGAGAGAGACGACGCTCACTCTGCTTGTTCCGGGAGAAAATAATCATAGGTGCATCCGCAAGACGCATCCGAGAATGAGCCAGTTGAGTGTGGAGAGGCCGTTGTACTCTCCTGCTTAAAAAAAAAACATTTTTTAAATCGACATTTTTGTCGCAAAAAAAAGGATAAATTGAGACATGCGAAACATTGTTCCATTTACCATATACTTGATAAGATTTTCCATTTTGAGATGAAAATTTTTCATGCCACCACTATTTGAGTAAATGTTAAAAATATGAGATGCGTTTGATCAAGTTTCAGGTAAGAGTTTTTTTTTTTTTTCAAAAAAAGTGCATAAGTCTATTGCAGAAATGAAGACTCTAGAAAATGGAATAGAGAAAGAGTGAACGATCATTGAACTCAGGAGCCGAGAATAACAAAACTGTTGGCCGTGATACTTTCATTAAACAGTGCTTCCAAACGAGTCCATTGACAACTTTTGAACGACAACATTTAGCTATTTACCATTGACATTCACCATAAAAAATGTATCAATTAAGATTTTTAATTGATGATGTCTATAGTTGAGTAACAAGTTCATCGGACCACGAGTACGACTTTCTCATTCATGATAAAAAGCATTGCAATTATGGTTATGGGTTAAGGCTGCATTGTCATTGAACCACATTCCCACACAAGTGCTATACTCCATACAACCAACCGGAATAACTGTCAGTAACTATTATTATTTTTATTCATTGTTTATTATTTATCTCTGTGTTCCGTTCATAATCTCGTTTTTTCGTGCTTCTGTCATGAAAACGAAAACCCGAGATTGGTGGAGCTTATACCTGCATCACCCTCACATCGTCTATGCGATAGCATATATATTGAGGAAAAACAGGTTGAGGTGAATGCCCCTGTCAGACCTAGACCCAAAAAACGTTTCTTTTCATTGGGCGTGCAGCGGTGGCACTGGGTTAAGGTAGAGTTATGTGTTGCGGTGCAGCTATTGTAGCCAGGTGCATATAACACTGGCTTTATGAGCCCTACGGCCTCACGGTCAAGTTTCAAGGACGATAGGTCTAAAACTCTCATCTCTACCATCTTATGGTCTTTCAATAAGTATAACATTAAAAGGAAAAGAAACGTGAATTATAATTGCGTTGAATTCATTATTAAATTAACCAAAAGCACTTTCCTTCATTGTGTATAGTCAACCAAACATAACTGTTCGATGCTTGGAATTTCGCAGGGTCGATGAACCATTTTGGCCTCTCTATTTTTTTTTTGCATCAAACAAAAATCCAGCAACCTTGGTTTTCGGATGAAATTGTCTACCTCGAACAAAAAAAACACAATCTATTATATAATTTTGCCGTTGAATGGGCTTCTTTCGTTGTTTCACTCATAGCCAAAAAGTTTTGTGATAATAAGTTCAATTAATTGTCAAATCGTAAGGCAACTCCATATAATTTCTCCGAGTGTTGGTTTCCTGCAGGTTTTGCATCATCGGTGCCATCGACCTCGCCCGTGGAGACATCCTCGGGCCATGTCTCGGTAAGAAGGAAAAAAAAACGGTAAAAAAAATACTATACCAGAGGACGGAAGAGAGAGAGAGAGAGAAAGAGAATTATATTAGAGTGAAAAAAAAATGAAAGAGGAAACATGTGTTGTGACATATTATAACGTGAATTAGGCAGGAGGTAGAGTTTTTCAATGGCAGACGCAATGTATAAGAAAGATGTATAAGAAGTGAAGGCGCACGCGTTCTCGGGATATGGAAGTCCATCCTTGATGGAGGTTACTCTGGGACATTGTTCCACATCTTTCGTTGGCTACGTGCTTTCCGTCTTTCTTTCACTCGCTACGATACCTGTATGCACCTCTTGGTAGTTTTTCTTCCTTGCCCGCCTGTTTGCCCCTTCCACCCTACACACTTATTTTCGCCTCAACTGAGGTTACAAATTCATTTCTCCTCTTCTCCTTCAATGCCTTCATCTTCCTTCTAATAGTTGTCTCTTTCTACTGTGCAGGGAAGAGGTGTATATCTCTCCTTGACTCGGCAACCGAGCCCGTTCACCGCCATCGCCATCGCCACCGCCACCGCCACTGCCACTGCCACGAGCTCGTTCACGGCCGCGCGTCGCTGAAAGTCAACGAACAGCGTAGACTCGACCCGGATTACACTTGGTTGTACAAGATTCGCACTTTTCATCGTTCTACGTCCCTCTCCCTCCTTTTTCTTTCACTCACACGCCTTCTCAGGGTCAAGGCACTAAGTGTCGTATATTTTATCATTATTATTATTATTATATCTTCCGCATTGCCATTACGTATTTATTCTTTGCTCTTTATCACTCTATTTTTTCATCAAATCACATATGCTACATTTTTTTAACGTGTTCGTTCTTCCTTTGTATATTGATCAATTATGTTTAAACGACAACAATGTTTTTTTTAGCACATTTATTCTGACAAATGATAATCAAATGGAAAAGTTTATCGAAAATACAAGTACATTCGCGTCAAGTTATTTCATAATATCTTTTAGTGAGTAATGCTGAGATTGTCAGCTCTTGCTAAGTAGGTATAGCGGTAGAAGGTTCAAAAGCAATTTTTCTCTAGAGAAAAGCCGAAGAATTTCCTCAAGCTCTGAACACGCACTTTACATTTACAATCGCTTTATATTTCTGATTCTGTCATTCTTATTCTTTACTAAAACAAATGTGGTAAGTTACTTTCCAGTTTCGTCTAAATATGGGAAACAGGCCAAGAAAAAAAAAGCATGATTGATAATGGAAGACATCAATGTTTCAAGCTTTCAAGTCCACAAAACTGAATAGTTGTATTAACAATTTTTATACATCATGTATTATCATTATTAGAAATATTTCAATAAACTATTTTACGTTCAGGTATTGGGCTTTAAGTTTACTCGGTGGATTTTCTATATCGGCTTTGCTTTGAATTAGGCGTAACTCCTTAGTTTTAGCTTTTTGCACAGACGAAGCATTTGCGAATTCTAGAAAATAGAGAGAGAATAATGAGTCTTTATTGAATATTTGCCTAATAGTATAATTGATATTGTTCAAATTTTATTACTCGAGCGGAATTCATGGGTTCTCAAAAGCACTGAGTGCAATGAATTTATTGTTTTCTCCAGAGCAGTTTTCAAATCCTGTTGAATATGTGAATGTGCCAAAAATAAAGCTGCAAAAAGATCTCCAGATCCAGTGTAATTTGTTGGTATTTTTGGTATGTCCATGGTGATTATCATATCATCTATTTGATTGAAATAGATGTTAGTACGTGTTTTAATTTTATCATTTTACCTTGACACCTTCCGTGTCTATTCAATGTAAAATTTTACCTTGCTTATTGCTAATAAAACTCTGCAATTTATTATTCAATTCAATGGAAGTTATAGCAACAATTTTAGGACCCAATCCATGCAATTTCTCTATAGCTCTTTTCACATCCTCTGTCGTCTCAATATTCTCATTGGTCAATAACCTGAAAAAAAAATTAATATTTTGTATAATTCTGTTGTCCATCAAGAGCTGAGGTACAAGCAACAAAAATGAGTATTACTCCAATTCAAATTGATTTGGTGTCACAATATCTACTAGTGGAATTACTTCTGTCTTATAAATTTCGATCAACTCTTCAGGTACATAAGTTTTTCCATTGTCGCCCAAAACAGGATCGCAGACTGAAGGAGAGACGAACAATTATCATTATTACATAATTAATGAATGTCACTGAGTAAAAATATATTACCGTATATGAGATTTGGATTTTTCTCTTTTAAAATGGGAACCAATTGGGAAATTTTTTTGAGAAAGGACGATGAGGCAACATATCCAGTGAGTAAGTGACTATAGTGATCCAAATCATTTCCAGCTAGTCCTTCCATCAATTGGCCTGTATATACACATATACATTCAAAAAGAAAAGAAACTTTTATCAATTGAAATGAATTAAATGAAAAGAAAATGTTGTACAAGTGCTCACCCAGATGATTGTCATTCAGGATTTCACCTTTGACGACTTTATATCCCGTATGATTGGAAAATTGCACTGAATTAATTACATCCACTTCGAATCCAAGTAACTGAAAAAGAGAGAGCAAAAAAGATTTTTTTTTCTTCATTAAATAAAAGACAAAATCAATCGATCATGTAATCATATTTCCACATACCTGTAATGGAAATGTTGCACATTTATTACCACAGTATCCATAAACAACGTGGCTCTGTATTGATAGTACGTGACGTTCATCATCACTAGTCATTTTATTGTTCCTCCAAAAAAAAATAGGGATGATGGAAAAGAATTACAAGTATTTGGTTTGTTATTCACTGGAAAACACGGCACAACTGATATGTGATGATAATATTCCCTATCATCTATCGCTCTATATTGAGCGCTCGCTCGGGTATGTCCATCAGTCACATGACTAAACTCTACATCAATACTAGTTTATCGCTTGGAGGTAATTTTTCCAAAACTTATGTTGAAGAATTTTATCTTGTATGCTAACATTGTTCTCTAACTAATCTCCAGATATAACATTAGAGTGAGCAAATGCAATTTATCTGATAAATAATATTAAGAGTAAAGTTACAAAACAAAAAAAACAAACACAGTTTGTGCAGTGATTATTTGAATTTCGTAATCAGTATAAATTTTTCATCTTCTTTCATTATCATTATACTTGTTTGATTTTTAAGATAAAAAAAAAACTTGAACTACACCACACACACATCCTTCAATCTTTATCGTTGCCAGTTTATGCACACCTAACCTTTACCATATGCGAAAGAGTTAATATATATCTAAACATATATAGTCAACTCAATAAAGTGCTATATTATCTGTTGCGAAGAATATTCTTCGTAACCGTAGAACGCTGCTAATACGGATGTGTGTATGAGAAGTTGTTTTTCGACCAAGGAGCACTCACTAATACTACTATCATCACCTCTGAGTTGACGAGAAAAAGTATGGCGACGTGGGAGTGTGAGAAATTTACTCAAGAAGACGGCGATACTGAGGGTATCACTGACAGTTTCAACAGTATCCTAGTGACTCCTGATTTGCAGGATTGTCTTGATGACAGTCTAGATTTGACCAATTTTGGAGAAATATACCAACAATCGGCAGACTATGATTGCGCCAAATATTCGGATACTGAGGATACTCCATTCATCTCGAGACTACCTGATGACACTACTGGGTGAGAATATTTTCAAAAAACTCCTTCATTATCCACCTATATATAAATAAGTCAAAGGGAAAATTTAACAGAATACATTCAATAGAATTTCAATTCTCTCTTATTCATATGGATACTGCAATCACCCACTTTGTTTTCAGATAACTCATAAGAATTGAGCATTTCCCTTATACGGCCATTCCTGATTAAATATCGTTCTAGATATTTGAGATTAATATAGAATTTCTATATCAAGAAAAACCTGGGAATTTAATGTTCAAAAATATCCAAACGTATTAGTAAATTCATGGCCTTCTGCTAAAAATAAATATTGTATGTGTTGGTGCAGAGAGAGAGAGTAGCAAAAACTATGATTTCCTAATAATAATATCGGAGGAGAAAATTTTCATATTACATGTTAACAGTACCATGCTAATTGTTTTCAATTGTCATTATTATTAGATACATTCATCATACAATCAGTCCGAATGAAATTTATATGCGGATTCATCCGGGCCAAAATGATTCTATGCCCGATGCTCCTTCGCATGCAACAATCACTATTGAAAGCACCGATCCGGATACAAATCAAAAGCACATCAGTCGCTATGAGTGCGAGTATGATGGTTGTTCGCGTACTTACAGTACCGTTGGCAATCTCAGGACTCACATGAAAACCCATAAAGGTAAATATTAACAAGTTTCATTGAAATTTTCACAAATTTTCAAGTGCATTTAAAAATATTAAATCATGCTTTTATTGTCCCATCTAATACATACTAATCAGAACATAATTATCATCAAGCCATTATGGATGAGAAAAGATGTTGGTAAGTTTATGCAATTATTGCATGAAAAAAAAAAAAAAGCATAATGTGATGGTGCGTGAATTTCACAAATTTAAGCTTTACATCAATTGATTTACAGAATGAGACACAAAAAGACAATGAGAAAAAGAAAAAGCTTTATCATGTTTACACGGCTGTCTATCCCAATGTGGATATGAAAGAATCGCTTGGATCTGCATGGCTTTTATTTCGGTCAGTGGTCAGAAATTTCATGCATGCCTCATTGCTGATAAATGTGAGGTAAAATTTCATGCAAACAAAACATTGCTTTTATTGTTATTGTTATTATTATTATTACTATTATTACTATTATTATCATTACTATTATTATTATTTTTACAGGAGAATATCGATTCAAATGCACAGAGCCAAGTTGTGGTAAGGCTTTTTTGACATCATACAGTTTGAAAATTCATGTAAGAGTACATACCAAAGTCAAGCCCTTTGAATGTACTTATGATGGCTGCGAAAAGGCATTCAATACTTTGTACAGACTGAGGGCACACCAAAGACTCCACAGTGGAAATACCTTCAAGTGTGAAGAAGTTGGATGTATAAAATTTTTTACAACTCTTAGCGATCTTAAAAAACACATTCGTACGCATACGCAAGAGCGCCCTTACAAGTAGGTGGAGAATTTATTTATTTTTATTTTTTCTTCTTTTATCGTATTATACATGCTAAAAATTTTCTAATATATGGTTAAAATAGGTGCAAGGAAAAAGGCTGTGGTAAAGCTTTCACTGCTTCTCATCATTTAAAAACTCACAAACGAACTCATACAGGGGAACGTCCTTATACATGCTCACAAATTAATTGCCAAAGATCATTTACTACACCACACAGTCTGAAGAGCCACTTGAAAACGCATAGAAAATTAATGGATAGTGGGCTATCCGTTCTTCATGCCCAAGAAACTCAAATTGCACCCCATAATATAATCAAAGAAGATTCATTATCAACCTATACCATCATCCCAATCAATACAACGACTGAAAAAATTGATAATACAAATATGGCCTTCATATCACCGAATATTAAATCGGAAGGAACAACTGTTTTAACACTCAACGATCTCCCCTTTAATTTATCTCCAAATGGGAGTGTTTTGCAGATTGACAGTACAAATAATAATATTTTAGTGGAATCAACTTTTTCATCGTCTGATGAAAAAATGACTAGTGAAACTTTTACCAAAGAGAATCAACATTTCGATATGTCAAATTATGGGGATGCTGTGAATGAAAATTCGGCCAATGATGGATTATTATCATCATCATCATCATCATCATCATCATCATCATCGGCGGAGAGTGAAACATTTGGAAAAGACAAATTTACCTCTGCACCACTCAATCTAGAACAAAAAATTGTACGTGATGGTATTCAAAATACTATCGCCCAATTGTCAGATGTTAATGATAATGGTGATGCCGATGAGGATGAGGATAACCACAATAATGATGTATCTTCATCGTGCAATATTTTCACCATGAAGGATTTGATCGATGAAGACAGTGTTGATGCCATATTGAACAAAACATCCAATCACAGCCAAGCACAGTTATTTGACAATAGTCTTGAATCTCTTGCATTCACAAGTGAAACCAATAATTTATTATTAAATAATGTGAGTGAACAATCGGAGGCTGTAGAACTTGCCATGGCTTCGGAAGAAGAAATTCCATCGCCATGGATAGATGTAATGGCCCTCGCTGCTAAACCAGCACTGAGAACAGAATCTTGGTCAGAGGAGATGAATGCTTTTCCGACAGCTGTTCATTCATTGGTGGACCTTGTAGGACCAGAGCCGTCTCCTTTACAAATTCAGACACAAATTCAAGGCTCAACGATTCTCGCAATAACAGAACCCGATCAAATACCTCAACAAATCATTACAAATTATAGAGCAAAGGAGAGAAATATTCTGCAAGAAATAACAGCGGATGCTGATATTTGCAAATGCACAGACTGCAAGTGCGATCAATCAAAAAATTGTCACAATTGTTCACCAGAACCAACTTGTGATAAAAAAACCAATACACAGATGAATATTGTCAATGAAATTGTTTCGTGCTTACAAAATCAATGTACAAATGATATAGCGACTAATTGTGGCTCATGTTGCCTCGTTATTTGCTTCAAAACTCTGGAACAACTTCAAAGAGTATTCAAAGAGAATTGCTGCAGCCGAGACTCACAAGGCTCATCGTGCCGTAGAGATAAAGCAGCTAATTTTCATGATATTTATCACGACGAAGAATCCTGTAAATGACTTTCATGTTAATGTTATTACTTCGGAGGCTTTACTAGTCAATTTTCAAATCGAGTCTTATGCTGTTCTCTTGCATTTACAGAAAATCTGTGAGAATAGGAAATAAAATGCAATATATACAAATATCTATTTAAAAAAACGTTTTTCACATTACCTCGACAAATTATGTAGCTCTATGATTTAAATTGCCTTTTGCGTGCGTGTATTTTTCTCAGTTGTAAAACTAATACTTTAAAAGTCATAAGTAAAGAAAAAAAGATTATTTTTCAATTACGATTTTTCGTTGATGCCAAACGCTAAAATATTACCTTGACCTTGTTATTTAAATATTGCAATATTATACTTCACTGTTGTGAAAATTTTTATTACACTTTATACGTTTAATGCTCTTTGAATTTAACATTAACAATATGCAAAAATATATATACATATATTTTTTTCAGAGAAATTGTTCAATAATTAAACGATTAAAACAGAATGAATAAATAAATAAAATGAAAAAAAGGAAAAGAAAAAAAAACAACATTGGTTTTTTCGCAATTACGTTGATTTGAATGGAACCATATAGACACAATATCCGTTTTTCAGGCTTCTATTTTATTCACGAATTAAAGAGTATAATTGAGTAACAATGATGAATAGTTACAGCCGACGGTGTCTAACATGTTCATTCCTAAAATTCAAATAGTGAATATATTGAATTTTTTTTTTGTTCCAATAATGCAGTTTTACGAGGAAGCCTGAACGAGAGCTTCTGCCACTTCAACTGCAATAGCAGCTTCGGCCTTGTCTTTATCAGAGGATGCGGAGTTGAGTTGCTGTTGAGCTTTGCTCAGGATATCTTTGGCTGCTGAATTATCTAGGGCATCGATCGGGTGTGCCTCCTCAGCCAATATTTGAACACTAGAATCCTCATTGATGGTTACAGTACCAGATGAAACAAATACTTTTTTCGTTTCACCACTTTCCTCATATACGGTGACAACACCGGGTTTCAAAACCGCGAGAGTTGGTACATGCTTTGGAAGGATACCAAAAGCCCCAGAGAAAGATGGTACATCAACTTGACGAATATTGGCTTGATCATAGAATACCTGAAATGATAATTTAGTGACTGACAGTGAATGGACAATTCCTAGATAATTTAACGCCAACAGTACCTTGTTTGCCCCAGCCAGTGTGAATTTCATTTCATTGCCACTAGCTTCAGCATACGTTCTGACCTGGGCTGTGACACACTTCATAGCTGGGCGAAGTGATCTTGCGAAAGTTGCCATATTTTTTTTCGCTTTCTGAAAATATATTTCACATATATAATTCCTATTGATGAAAAAATAATCTAGATTACATCTAACTGTTACATCACAGATTATATTCTACATAACCCTCATGTGTTTCATGCAATATGTCTCGATCAGTTGAATCCAGTCAATTTATTCATATAATGCACATTGATTGATGATTTATAATGACAAATTTATTTGTCATTTGCGCTTTATTCACTGCAAGTGTAAGAGAAGCAATTGACTCACCCTTTTTCTCACTCAACTCAAATTGGAAAGCCAAATAATATCTTTCTCTCCTGCGATACAAAATCACCACGAAATTCAGTTTAGTATAATTCCGCTTGAAATGAGCATAATCCCGCCATCTTTCACCGTGCCGCTGCACTAAACATATCGACTGGTAAGACATTTCTCCTGAAGATATCATCTCCAATATCGAGCCCTTTTTAACCATCTTATCAGAATCTGCCCTATATAACCGACATGATCATAAATATCTTGCACGCCAAGTGTGTAAAAGTGAAGATTTTTGTGCTTCAAAAACGTTTTTGATATTATTCTGCTGCTATTAGAGATTTCATAAAGTATGTATGATAAATAATGGAATAAACAATTATTTTACTGTCGTAATTCCTCATTATTCACTTGTAGTTGACATATAATTGAATGTCTGCATGTTTTCGTAGAATGGCCCGGGTACCAGATGAAGAATTAAAAAAAGCATTCGCCGAACTCCAGGAGAAAATGGTCGACACAACCCAGAAACTAAGACTAGCTGACATTCAGATTGAGAGTCTCAAGCGTATGAAGCAACATGCTGAATTGACGATCAAGGAAATAGTGACTCTCCCCAATACCACGAAGACGTATGAATCAGTGGGGAGAATGTTTCTCCTCGACGATATCGACAGTATTAAGAAGGGATTGCAAAGCAGGATGAAGAATGCTGATGAGAAAATCACAACGTTAGAGAATAATAAAACTTATCTGGAGCGGGATCTCAAGGAGAGCAAAAATAATCTGAGGGAGATGGTACAGCAGAGACAGAATAAAGAGGTCTCGGGGTAAGAGGAGAGGTTAGCTATCAATTGTGTGGCTGTGCTGTACCCATAAAAGGAGATTGCTCTCATGTCATCAATGTCTCTGCATTCAATCACCAATAACTAGAGATTGACAGAGTGAAATTCCAATTTTTTTTTTTTTTTCGTTTTGAAGGTATTCTTTCAGAGTTTAAAATGAGCTTGGCTTACTCGTCGAAATCCCACCATTTGTTGAGGAGTTATTGGAAATTTAAAAAAGACGTTTTATCTCACTTATATGACATTGAGTAATCAACAAACTTTTGTATTAAATCAATAATAATAAACATTCACACATAGTTTTTTATTTAAACCCTATTGGAAATCATTTACGTCCTCCACCAACTCACAGAAGAGAAATAATATTCGGAGCAAGACAAAATTTTTATTTATTCACTCCCGCACTCGTAAAAAAAATGTATACATATTTTGAAATTATGAGAGAGAGAAAGCAGAATCAGAGGGTAAACGATAAAATTTACAATGTCTTACAAGTTGTCTTGAGGGGATTGATTTTCTTCGTTACATGTGTCGAATCGTGTGATTATATTATGCGGGCAATAATAGCAATTGGGAGGGGGATGATGGTTAACTCCCAATTGCGAGTAAGTATTTCACAGTGTGATCGATACAAATATGTTACGGGGCCCCGAAAACTTGAATACGTTATTATAAAACCGAAGGGAGGAAGAAAAAGAGAAAGAAAATGTTCTACAGGCCTATTACAATATTAAATTCTATCTACTTAAGTGTCCGACCGAATGTCAACCAAAATTGTATTTTTAATATTTTACAATGGATTCATGATAGTAGAGTTTAAATCAAAGTATCGTTGAGTAGAGACTAATTGCTTACAAAAAAATATTATCAATGAACAAGCGAATAATAAATTATATCGAGTGTTCTTCATTAACTTTTTAAATTTCCTACAATTGTCAAATTCACTTAAATGCATTCCTTAAATAGATCAATTTTTCACGTAAATAATGATTATCAACTAAGCGTTATCAGCTCAATGAAACGATTATAAATCGACTGTTTTTCACCAAATACCACTGGCGAGACAATCTAGTCCCCATTGTATTTTCCTTTTTTTTTCTTTTTTTTTTCTCATTCTACGATAACAAATGTTCTCCATACAAAAAGTGATTTGTTTTCATCAAATTTCCATTCAACTTTTGCTGATATTTGACGCCAAATGTACAGATAATAAATACAGGAAAATTGTGATTTTTTTGTTTATTGGTACGTATTATATGTAGCGTTTCCCATTTTTTTTTGTTTCTTTCTTTTTAATCTTCTGTTAATTCTTAGGTCCTTACCTAGTGAAAATTCAACTAGTCATTGTGATTCTCACAAAAATAAAATTACATCGCGCAAATAATTGGTTTTCTATCGTCCTTTTGGTCAATTTCGGTTGCGCCACGGATATCTCGAATTATTTCATCCAGAAATCTCTTCTGCAACACTTTAAGCTGGAATAAAAAGATAAATTTTAGTACAAGGGATCCCTAGAGGACTTGGCAGCATTGAATGAAAGTAATTAAAACGCACATTATTTGGCATCAATATTGCAATCGTGATGTAAATGATGAATTGTTGATTTATTGCATACTGACGAACAGTCAAGGCCAAATAAATCTGTTTTAATTACTGTCAAACGATGGAGGAATTTCATTTTATGATTGAATGAAAAGTGTAAAACCTTGTGGTGGCTGTCCTGGCACGGAATACTGTGGCCTGAAGTTACCAAAGTTGGCGGCACCAGCAAATGTTGCTTGCAATTGACCTCCAGAGAAACCAGCTGGAAACTGTTGAGCCAGTAGGGCAGCCTGTCCAGCTTGACTGCTGCCACCTCCAGGTGCAGTTGCTGCCAATCGACTAAGAATCGAGCGCTCTGACATTTGGAGACGCTGGGCAACTGGTGGAATACGTGCGAGAGTGGCTGGCAGACGAGAAACATCAGATTTCATGTCTGAGAGGAGCTCCTCGAGCTGATTGAGGACCTTGTGGAGGACTGCATTGGCTGGTTTGTTGCCAGCCAGGCTCTCCTTGCTGAGATGCTGGTGGGACTCGGCGAGACACTCTACCTCGGCAAATCTTGCATTCAGACTCATTGCCGGATGATTTGGATCCTGAGTGAGATTCAGGTATGCAGCTCTCCTCAACTGCTCCTCGATGACGAGGGCCTGCTCGAGAAGCTTGAAACGTCTTGCCAAAAATTTATTCTTGATCTCGAGGAAATTGCCTTTGCCAACGTCCATCTTGAATGGCTCGTTGATTATCGCAAATCTTATATCATTCTGGATGTCCTGCCAGCGACCATAGCCATGAGTTACGATACCAGCTAATAACCAGTAATCATGTCTTCTGTGCCATATCTCATACTCTCTACCAGGCACTGCTGCCTTCTCCTCGTTCAACCACAGGGTGTGCAGCTCTGTGAAACCTCCATCAGCAATGTTGAACATGAATTTACGTTTTGGTTTCACTTCCACTTCTGTATCCTTGGTCTCTTTGTCTTTACTATCTTTCTCCTCTTTCTTCTCGGACTCTTCCTCATCGTCCTTGACGATAACTACCTCCTCCTCTGTCTCGAGCTTGGGTTTTGATTCACCCTCAGCTTTGTTCTCCTCAGATTTAACAATTTTCTCAGATTTAGCATCTGCTGACTGATCTTTCTCCTTCTCAGAGCTCTCGGAATCTGTGGTCTTCTCCTCTCTTTTGTCCTCTTCCTTGGGTTTAATCTCCTTATCACTTGATGCATCAGCTGTCTCCTTGGGTTCTTTTGCCTCCTCTTTCGGTTCTTTAGGTTCTAATCCAGATTCTTTCTCCTTGATCTCTTCCTTCGTCTCTTTTCCATCTTCATCGATTGAGGTTTTTGTTTCATTGGAGTTCACTGCAGCTGATGTTGGAACTGAGGAACTCTGGGTGGTGATACCCATGGATGGAGATGTGCTGGTGGGTGTCACTGTCGAAGTTGGACTTGGGGTACTAGAAGTTGTTGCTGTTGTACTGGTACTGGTTATTGTCGATGTTACACTCTCAGGGCCTGTTGTTGTTGTTATTGTTGTTGTTGTTGTTGGTGGTGTTGCAGTGCCTGGGGCAACAGCGGTCGCAGCAACAGCTGCACTCTCCGACTTGACTGGTTCCACTGGTTTTCTAATCATTTCAGGCATCGAGTAGTAACCATTGATGTGTTCAAACTCCTGGACTTTCTTTCGAATAAGTGACATGACACCAATTCTTGTGAGCACATGCTGACGACTGAGTCCTTCTCTGGGTACACCATCAGCAAATGTCTCTGCATTATCAGCACCTGGCTCGCACAGATGTCTCATGAAGAGGGAGACGTAGGCCTTGAAGTTCTTTTCCGATTTGCCCCTTAGGTCTCGCACCAACCTACAGATAGAAGCAGTCCAGACTATAATTCTCATTCTGAATGGATTTTAAATTTTCTTGACAATGAAGAAGAGGTGCTAGAAGATTCTAGGGGAATTAATCCTGTCAACTTACCATTGAGAATTGAATGCATCCTGAGGTGGCATTCCATAGCGCATTATTGCGTTGAGGAAGGCCTTTCGTTGTCTCGCGTTGAAACCGAGAACCTACAGAAAATGAAAAATTAAATTTTTTATATAGAGTTTAATTTTCTAATTCTACTTAAAATGCAATTGAATATGAATTGCATTGGGGGAGAAAATTGACACTCAACTTTTCAGACAAATTAATAATAACAAACCTCAATATTTCCATTAACTCTAGCAAGCAGTGGTGGCAATGGCCTGTCCTTCTCATCACGTCTCTCCAATCGACGTCTACTCCTCCTTGACAACAGGTCCCCATCTCCTTTCTCATCAAAGTCATCATCCTCCTTATCATCATCACTCGGTGCACTAAAGTCACTGTTGTAATCAGAGAGATTCTCCTGCCAGGGTTGATCATCACGTGCCCCCTGGTCCCCAGTGACTCCACCATCGTTGTAATTGACCTGTTTGCGGACACGTTTACCCTTGCCAAGGGTCCGGGCGATGTCCTCCTGCTGCTGCTCGTAGTGATGCCTGAGGAGTTTGATCCAGTAAGCTGGATCAGTGTTTTCCGCTTCCTGCTTGATAATCTCTGTATCAGCTTCCTCCTCAGTTTCACCCTCCTTGGTAACATAAGAGGCAACTTTGAAGGAACTTAAGTACTCGTTTGCCCAGTTCTCCTTCTGCTCGATACCCTCTTTACTGCGATCAAGGAGTTCAGCCACTGCCTTGTCGTCATAATGAATTGCCTCATCCTCCTTGCCCTCTTCTTCTTTGAACAACTCTTCAGTGCCAAAACGTAAAATGTCATCAAGCTCTTGTTTACTGAAGTTGGCGCCCTTTCCTCCCATTCCAGGTCTCACCACCAAATGAGTCAACATCATCTTTCGTTTGGCAACCTGGGTCACACGTTCCTCCACTGAATTTCTCGTGACGAATCGATAAATCATAACCTTGTTGGCTTGACCGATTCTGTGGGCACGAGAGAATGCCTGAATATCATTGTGGGGATTCCAATCGGAATCGTAGATTATCACAGTGTCAGCTGTTGCCAAGTTGATACCAAGACCACCAGCACGAGTAGACAGTAGAAATACAAATTGTTGAGCACCAGGCGCATTAAATCTGTCGATAGCCTCTTGTCGTTGGGTACCAGTGATGTTACCGTCAATTCTCTCGTACTTGTAGCCCTCGCCCTCGAGGTAATCCTCAAGAATGTCCAACATCTTTGTCATTTGGGAGAAAATGAGAACGCGATGGCCATCGTCCCTCAATTTCTTAAGCATCCTGCTCAAGAGAACAAGCTTTCCAGCTGCTTTTATCAAAGCAGAACTCTCGTAATTGCCGTTTGGACCTGTTGGTGCCTCTTGGGATGCAGCTGGGAATAAGTACGGATGATTACAACACTTCTTCAAATCCATCATGATGTTCAGGAGGGACACCTGCTGACCTCCGCCTTTTGGATTGAGAGCCTCGAAGTTTCTCGTTAAAATGTACTTGTAGTATTTCTTTTGCATTGGGGAGAGCTCGACACGAACAATAAACTCTGATTTACTCGGCATATTTTTCAGTACATCTGCCTTCAATCTTCTCAACATGTGGGGACCCAACATCTCGTGAAGTTTCTTCACCTGTTCCTCCTTGGAAATATCTGCAAACTCGTTTTGGAATGCAGACAGATCGTTGAACTTGTCTCGACAGAGGAAATTTAGGAGATGGAAAAGCTCTTCGAGGTTATTCTGAAGGGGTGTACCAGTGAGCAATAATTTATAAGCAATGTTATACGACGCCAGCAGCCTGAAGAACTTGGACTGATTAGACTTGAGCCTGTGAGCCTCGTCCACAACGAGAACAGCCCAGTCGATCGATCCTAAACATGCAGAGTCAATCGAAATGAGTTCATAACTTGTCAGCAAGACGTTGAATTTAATCTGTGAAGAGCGAATTTTTGAGGCACGACCAGAACGCACAGCACCTTCCTCAAAGGACAATTCATTCTCTCGAATGACAATTCGACTGTCTTTATCACCGACATATGTGACGCAGTAGAAATCAGGCGCCCAAGTCTCGAACTCACGTTCCCAATTGATGATAGTGGAGAGGGGAACCGAGACAAGGAAAGGTCCCTTGCAGTGTCCCTCTTTGTAAAGTGAATAGAGGAAAGTGATGGTTTGAATGGTCTTACCGAGACCCATTTCATCAGCGAGGATGGTGTCGATGCCCTGTCCCCACGAGTATCTCAACCAGTTGAGACCCTCCAGTTGATAAGGATGTAGCTGCATCCCAGTAATGTCGAGATAGTCTGGTTGTCTCTCGTATTTCTTCTTCAGGTCTGTTGTGGGCTTGTCAGGAGGTGGAGTATAACGTCTTGGGGCTCTCTCTTCATCGTCAATGAGTTCACGTGTCTTGGACTTTTTTCCTTTACCCTTTTTCCCTTTTCTCGAAGTGGTGCCCTCCAAGCTATTGGCAGCTCGCAGATCCTGGTAGTAATCGATGGCCTGTTTGAGCCCAGGAATGTCCTCGTGCTCGTCCTCCCATGTGGCCTGATCATACCCCAATTCTCGCCATTTAACGAGATAAGCCGCTCTACCATCTCTCTGATAACGATGATTTATCACTCGGTGAACCACCAGCCACTCTGGACGAACCCCGTAACGATAGAATTTCTCCTCCAATGCTGCTTCATCACGAGTGGTAGCTGCACTATCAACGGCAAGCAGACGTTTTACTCGAGTATCACTCTCGTCCAATGGCTCTTCTAACTTTGGAGGCTCGTCCATGTCGTATTTTCGAGAGTAGTTTCGGAACATTAGGGGGTGAAATACATCCAGCTGGAGCTCGGTCACCCAGTCACAGTGCCAGTATGACATCTCAGCCCATTTGACGAAGAATTCACGAGTTCTTCGGGGCTTGGGGGCTGCTTTGCTGGTGGAGGGCTCCTCTGAGGGACTCTCAGTACTATTCTCTTTCCACCTCCAGGTTAAAATCTTGGCGACTCTACCCATCAGAGGGGGACAGGAACATCTCGGACACTTCCAGTCGCCATCAGGGATCTCGGAGAGGGGTGGATTGAGACAGTGCGTGTGGTAAGCGCTTGTACAGCTGTCGCAACAAAGGAGTTCTCCGCCGTCCTTGCAGACGCGACAAAACTCCATGTGCTCGTCGTCATCCTCGGCAGCACCTTCAACAGCAGTGGTGTTTTAATGTCTTGAAACACGGACTGGGTCACGAATGAACGAATCGTATAGTAATTGCATGTTTTTTATTTTTCAATTCCCTAATACTGTATAATAAAGTTAATGATAAACTTGGTGTATTAAATTGTGAAAATACAAACGTAAGGATTCCATATAGAATCACATTTCTATACGATTTTTTCATACGTGACGTGATTGCTTGTTCAATAAGTGGAGTCCAAATAAAAATCACCTTCCCTTCCGGGCTCAGAATGGAGGAGGAGTTAAATAAAACGAAAATTCTAATGGGGCGGATGTAGGGATAGGAATTTTTATTAAGGTACCTGAAATACCTTCGCCTTCGCAGTGGGGACAGCTCCATTTTCCCTCGGGGGTTTCCTCCAACTCTGGCTCGAGGCATACCAAATGGTATGCTCTCGGGCACGTGTCGCAGAGGATTATCTCACCACCTTGCTGGCAAACCTCGCAGTAGTCTTGGTGATCAGTCTGCTGAAATAATAATTGGAAATTATTATGCTAAACTTATTTTATTTAGTGAGAAAATTCAGTAATGATGGCGTATGAAATTGAAATTGGGGAGAAAGGTTATTATAAGTTTACTTGAGTGAATTCATTTCGTTTCATCTTTCATTGCTGAATATCCCACCATTAAACTTAGATACTTTCCTCGCCATCTGGAAACTTGGAGGTCGTCTTGGTCTTCTTTTTCTTTTTAGTTTTATTACCAATCTTGGTTTTAGCCTTCCTCCGAACTGGTGGTTCTGCCGGTGCCTCAGGGGCCGCATCCTCATGGCCCTTGGTACTTCCTTCGCCGCCAGGTACCTCTTCAGCATCAGCCAGCATCTGCTCAAATTCCATATCAGAGTCTCTGTCAGAGCCTGCGACACTGCCTTCGGCCTCCTCATCCGAACTCCCTCGTTTACGTTTTCCCAATTTGATCTTGAGGGTTGGCACCTTGGAGGCCTTTTTCCCCTTCTTGGCCCTCGAGCCACGTGACTTTCTCCGGCGATCACTGTCCTCGTCCTCCTCCTCGTCGTCGTCAATCTCCTGAACAGGTGCACCACGACTCGATCTAGCACTTTTGTTCTCCTCCTCTGCATTTGACATAGAGACTTCAGTGTCTGGTTGGGTATGAGGATTCAGCACCAAAAAGTCACGCCATTTTGCTGCCACCAGCATCATCAACTTTGACATCGGGACTTTTGGGTTCTCTTTAGCCAGTGCTGGTCTCACGTGCTGTTGAAACAATTTGTAAGCCGTTAGATTCTGAAAATCTGCGTCTGTGTACTCAATTGGCACATCCGTCAGGCCAAATGTACTGCAAACTTCCTCAATCGTTGGCATTCCAGTTGCCGGCTCCTGGGCCTGTGTTGTCGAGGTACTGTGACTCGACGATTTTCTCGACGATGATTTTCTACTCTTACGATTGCTGGCATAGTCACTGTCCTCACCTCCACCATCAACCACCTCACCACCACCACCACCCCCGTAATCACTCTCATCTCCCGAGTCTGATTTTTTCTTCTTTTTCTTCTTTTTTCCTTTTTTATCCTCACTCCTGGCTTTTCGCTTCTTTCCTTTCTTCTTTTTACGCTCCTCGGGCTCGTAGTCGTCATCCTCCTCCTGGTAAAATCCATCAATTTTATTATATTCTACAAGCACTAGGATTATTCACTAGAATTCTGGAGATCCTTAATTCCATTGGAATCTGTTACTTACGAGTCTTTGAGATTCTTCAGCGTCTGACGAACCGTCGAGGGGTTGAGCGACATTAGCTACTGTTGCATTGGACTCCTCCACGTCATCTTCCCCTGGGATTATCAAGTCATTAATAATAATTGATTATGAGAATAAGTCAGAGATATTCGTGGAATTCGCAATGTGATAAAACACGCGGTTTTGCTGTGATTTTTTTTAATCTGAAAAATCTGGAGAAAAGTCACTGAAAAGAAATGAAAATTTCCTGGGAAATACAAAAAATATCATTTTTGAGTTAATCCGCGTCTCATGAATGCTTTGTGCAAGTGTGCGGTCGCCGCCATTTTCTTTGGAAGGGCGAACGTACTACCACACTCTCCTATCTCTTTTTCTTTTATGATACGTTTGCACACTCTCTGAATTTGACATTAACAAAAGAAATAAATAAATTCATCGGCGATATACAAATTGAATAATTTATTATGCTCGTTGCATTGTACATTGGGAGATTTTATCCTCCATCTTTTTCATTATGGATCAATGCACTTTCGTTAATTACACGTAGGCAAATATATGTATATGGATGTATGCATCTGTAGACGTCGCCAAAGACTGTGAATCCATGAGAGAAAAAATGTTTCGAAAAATCAATTCCAGGGGGAAAAAAAACAGGCATCTTTGGCAGATTGAACTCTGCAATATTGAAGGAGTTTCAATATTGTTGTATTGAACCATTCAATTTTAATAGCGACGGTAGTCTAATTACATTCATAAACTACAATTTCCATATTTTGGGGAATAAAACCTTCATTTTATTGCCAAATACAAGGTTCTTGAACCCTCGTGGTGCTTGCAATTTGTGTACTTCGTTGATTCAAGAAATACAGCAAATTTTTAATGGATAAAACCGACAAAGTACAATATCATCTAAATATGAATAATTAAGCAATATGCCAAAAATGTAAAAAAACACATAAAAAATTTAATGAAATCTGGTGAATCGATATGCGACAATACAAAGCGGAGCCAAAAGCGAAAAAAAATTTGTTGGAGGTCGACACGAGAGTGGTGTAATGGTGCACCAGTTTTCTCAGTAGCCGATTTGACAAGAAATAAAAAAAAAAACGGGGCTGTATGACTATGGAAATGCGGGGCATCTCCCTAAATCACAGTAACAACGGGAAAACACCGGGAATTCTAATCATATTCATTATCCCCGTAGAATGAGTTAGAGTGATAATAAATGATAAATTTGATACTGTGAAATAATAATGAAAAATTGCAAAGGACCAATTGACATGGCAGCCATCGTACGAAAAGCGCGCGTCCTCCCCTGCGTGTCCCGCAGGCAGATAGGCAAGTACCCAAGTGCTTGGTGCCGGAGCAAGAGCAAGCCTTGGTTTTAACAAAAAAAATTTAGTGGCTAATCCATTCGATTATTACGATTATATCGGCATACCTGCGTAACTCTCCTCTACCTCCTCGTCTGACGCCATCGCCGATACACTTTATTTATTATTTAGACCACTAATTATTGACAATTCAACGACAAACGTGGACAAAAACGGCGGGTAAATGCGACATTAACGGCGTTACTAGAGATGCTCACGCTGCCTCGGTAAAATGTTCGGGGCACTTCGGCAACACTGAGTACAATTCGGCGTTCACCTTCGGCTGCTTCGGCTTTTTGGTGTTCAACTAACACTACCTAAATCAAACTCACACATATGCTGCGCAGTTACAGCTATTGTATGTGTGTGTGTGTGGGGGGGATGGACTTGGGGTCTCACAGTTCACCTTGGCTGCGGTTACTACCGTACTGCAGACCTCTCTCTTTCTCAACGTACTTTGTACTATATGCTCTTCTTTTCGTATTCCCCGCACCGTCCCTCTGGGTCCAACGAGTTTATTCCATTCCGACAACTTTTGCCCCCCACCTTTCACGCTTTCGACTATTTTTCGTGTGGCGCCCCGAACACTCCTAGATCCCATCCCACTGCTATTCGTTTTTGCTTTTTCCCTTTTTTTATATCTTTGCATTTTTCTGGAAATACCAATTGCATTTTCTGGAGGAAATATTTTTGCTGTTGGATTCATTCCACAATCTTTTAATTTTTGTAAAAAACCATTGGAAAAGACCCTTTAGGAAAACCTTTTCCAAAAACTCGCGATGAGTGCAGGTGCACAACAGCGAACAAGGTATAATCGCAGAAAAATGGATTTCAATCAGGAAGTAAGAAAAAAGAAACACCTGACATATCTTCTGATAAGGTTTTTAGTTTTTATTTAGGATTCTTTTGTATTGCATTACATATGGCCTCCTCATCTCCCTTTATCTCTGCAACTATTTACATTATTGATGTCTTGAATAACTTATCGACAAGTCGATTTCAAATTTTCTTTTATTCGGAGTAAGCACATACTCTGAAATCATAATCGTACTAATTCTTTTACCGCTTTATCGAAATAAATATGACATACGCATTACATGTGATACAAGAATACTCTCGTTAATATTTATCTGCTGACAGTACAATAGGAACGAAGCTTTCACAGTTTTGTCATTCTATGGCATGAAAGGACTACAGTTTTCCCATTCAGTTGAAGCGTTTAATTTCCTCAGTTGAATTCTTCAGTGGCTATTTCATAGATTTACATGATATACTCTCCAACAGATTCTCCAAATCAATTCATTCGCAATTAGTTCATTAGTATTCATTTAGTTGGATATAGAAAGAGGTTGAGAAAATTGGCCTTAAGATTACAATGTTAGAGACTGTTTACGACTGGAATGCGCGACTTGAAAAAAAAATAACGAATGTTAATATCTCACATGAGTGAGTGAGTTTCAACCGTAATCGACACTCAGGGCACTGAGCCCTTTTATTTTGATGGCCTCTGCAACTGCTCGCTCCAAAAAATCCTGCTCGTCCCCTCCCTCATCATTTTTCTCTTTCATACTCTCTTGGCAATTGTCGATCTGACTCGATGATATTATCTTGGATGAAGTAGCTCCCAAGGGAATATCAAAGTTCTTCGATTTTGGAAATTCGTTCCTCTCCACAGAGTTGGAAAAACTCTGATAAAGATCGCTCTCATCTTCAAATTGCCCTGAATGCACCAAACCGTGATTCCTTATAGCCATCATCACTGCAGTATCTTCCATATCGGTCCCCCGGAATAACCGAAATTGTGAGGCATCCACTTGTGGTCCTAGAATGTAGTTCTCCATTACACGATTTATCGTGTTGTCAACGAAGCCTTTGGCCATCTGACATGCTTGCCATCTTCGAAGTTTCTCTCGTATTAGTCTCTCAGTCCTCTCGAATTCAGTTTCAACTTCTGGAGCAGGATCTTGTGCTGTTTGATGAGTCTAAGAATAGGGAATAAAATTAGTAATTAAATTGACATGCTGTAAAGACCAAGGGGCAAAATAGACACTAGAATTTTTTCTAATGTCAATGCCTTATTCAATTTTTCCCTTGAATATTATACTCTTTTTCCTCTTTGTAATAATCTCAGTTTGAGCTTTATCATTTTACTCCTGAGTTGTGAATATAAAAAAAATGCCTCAAGTATCCATTTTGCCCCACCTTTCCCTAATTCATCTCATGAATTATATAATAAACCTCGTGTACCATTTCATCATGAATGTTTACGATTTTCATGCATTGTCTCTTAGCTGGGGCTGGTCTCTCGTGTTCCTCAGTGTCAGACTCCTTCACATCAGTGGCCATTTTACCATTCAATTGTTAATATCAAAAAATAATTCCCTCTCAATGCATCAAAACAATATCTTGTTATTGAAAATAACAACACTATTTGTTAAAACTGACCACTCTCGTTAACCATCATCAGTTAGCAATGCATCCCGTTTTCTCATGCGTAATTTGTTCCGTACTTTTTATCAGTTAAAACTCACTCCAATCGTCATTTGCAAAAAATCATGTTCTCGATATTTTTTCGCTAATGGTAATACTGTTCATTTTTTTTTTAAATTGTGTTGTCTATTGCGCAAGCGATTGAAAATTAATGGAAATATATAGGTATGTTAATTCACTGGATGAATCAAAACATTGGCTGCTGGGGAGTAAACGTCAATCCAGGCCGTACGTACTGCGACTCCTTGCACACACACACATTGTGCTATCACCACGAAATTCTCCTTGTGCCTCTTGTGCCACAAGCACAAGCATCAAGATGGCGAGGTATTTTCAACGATAAAGTAGCATTGAGACATTTTTTTTATTTCAGGTACAAAGCCTCATTGATTTCAATTCCATGGAATGGTGTTTCCCCTCTTTCGATCTATCGTCGTCAACTAATTATAAATTCTCCTACAAAGTTCGGTGGGCACACACACACACACACACGCTGGGTGGAGATAAATGAACTCCCCAGTCATTACACACACACGTTTCCACACGTTTCACTCCTCCATCCAATTCCCAAGATGGCGCCAACGTAGACATGTGTCTGTCTCTGTTAAAATTTTGTACAAAAAAAAATCATTTTGAAATATCGGTCCATTTCGAGGTAGATATTGCCATAACGAGGACCATCATTTATTGTACTATTTAATTAATTGAGAGGTGTGAGTGGAAGATTGTGTCAACTCGGTTTGAGTATGGCAGCCTGTGGTGATTATATCAAAAGTGAATTTCCAACTATAGACGACGAGTTGTATCATTATGTCGAGGGTACTGTCAAATGATAACCTCGAAATTAATTTATTTTTCTACTCTTGGAGTATATAAATTTGATGATAATGCTCTCGGGAATTTTTATGGTTCAGGTATTCTTGACAGTTCAAAGGATGATTTTGAGGATGGGGAGGAGGTGTATGAGGCAATTGGACAGGTGTTGCACGAGGTAGCTGACAAACCTGAAAACGAGGTTAGGTCTGTACACTTTCTGACTTTCATTTCCCCTATTTTTAATTTACATATATATAAATATATAATAATGAGAATTAATTTCATTTGAATATCAAAATGTCGGCAAGAAAATGAAATAAACACATCGGGTATCATCATTTATCAAATTCTCTGCGTCTTATTTATTCATTTTTTTTTATTAAATCATGCAATTCCATATGAAACACCATAATTTTTAAATTTTTCTAATCAACAGGCAAATATGCGAGACCCTCCTAGCAATGTTGAAAGGCACCACCAACGGTGGAGATGGAAATCTCCATGAGAAACGTCAAAATGGTATGAACAAAGTTCTGAATGCCCCGGTGCATTTGGGTGCAATGGCCGCAACTCTAGAGGAACAGGTAGAACAAATTAAGAGTATTTGGGTGACGACAAGGGACGACACGATGAAAGTGGATGCCAAAAAACTCGAGAAAGCTGAAGCTAAACTTCAACAGAAGCAGGAAAAACGAACTGGCCAGGATTCAAATCCCAACAAGAATAATTTGATTGGAAATCAGTCAGGTGACACAGCCAGTGCCAGTCAAATGATGAGTAAAAAGGAGAGTAGGATGGAGAGTAAAGGGGGAACTAATAAAACACAGGACATCAGGATTGAGAACTTTGATGTTGCATATGGGGACAGAGTTCTTCTTCAGGGTGCAGATTTGACTCTGGCCTTTGGTCGTCGTTACGGTTTGATAGGACGCAATGGGCTTGGAAAAACCACCCTCTTACGAATGATTTCGAATAAACAGTTGAGGATACCTTCGCACGTTCGAGTACTGCATGTGGAGCAGGAGGTAGCTGGTGACGAAACATCAGCCCTCAATTCAGTTCTCGAATCTGATACTGAGAGGAGTGCGTTATTGAGTCGTGAGGCAGAACTCCAGGTGTTGATCGAGAAGGAGGGAGGGAAGAGTGACACATTGGGGGAGGAGTTGGCCAAGGTTTACGAGGCAATGCAAACAGCTGAAGTGGAAAAAGCACCTTCGAGAGCTGGGGCTATTCTCTCTGGTCTGGGATTCTCGGTGGAGAGACAGTCCTGGCCGACAAAAGCCTTCTCAGGAGGCTGGAGGATGCGATTGGCACTGGCAAGGGCTCTCTTCTCCAGACCTGATCTTTTATTGCTCGATGAACCCACCAATATGTTGGACATCAAGGCAATTCTGTGGTTAGAGAAGTATCTGCAGTGTTGGCCCACTACATTACTCGTCGTCTCTCACGATCGAAATTTCTTGGATACTGTTCCCACGGATATACTTTACCTCAAGGGACAGAAGATCGAGGCTTACAGGGGAAATTACGAGCAATTTGAGAAGACAAAGGGGGAGCGAGAGAAAAATGCCCAGAGGGAGTACGAAGCCCAGCAGGCGAAACGAGCACATGTACAGGAGTTCATCGATCGTTTTCGATACAATGCCAATCGTGCCTCCAGTGTGCAGAGCAAGATAAAAATGTTGGAGAAATTACCAGAGCTCAAAGCTGTGGAGAAGGAGGCTGAAGTCACCCTGAGATTTCCTGATGTCGTACCTCTCAGTCCACCGATACTACAATTGAATGAAGTTTCATTTCGTTATGAAACATCGAAAAATAGTGATTACATATTTACGGGTGTTAATCTCACTGCCACACTTCAATCACGGATTTGTATAGTTGGAGAGAATGGGGCGGGGAAGACGACTTTATTGAAGATTATTACGGGGACATTGAGTCCAACTCGTGGGACTATTCACATACATCGCAATCTTAAATTTGGATATTTTAGTCAGCATCATGTGGATCAGCTTGATATGAGTGTGTGTCCTGTGGAATTATTACAGAATCATTTTCCAGGTGAACATTTCATACTCGAAAGTAAAATAAATCATCAATGAATTGCTCTACTGAGGCAAGAATTTATATTGCAGGGAAGCCAACAGAAGAATACAGGAGAATGCTCGGTAGTTTTGGAGTCAGTGGAGATCTTGCATTGCAAACAATTTGTTCTCTTTCTGGAGGACAAAAGTCCAGGGTTGCATTTGCCCTCATGTGTGCTGCTATGCCCAATTTTCTCGTTCTCGATGAACCTACCAATCATCTTGATATCGAGTCGATAGAGGCACTGGGCAAAGCTCTCAATACTTGTCAGGTATTCATTCATATCCAAGATGAATCTCATGTGTTCCAAATGATTTTCACTATATTTTCATTGTGAGATGAAATGGTAGGCGAATAGTATTCATCAACTATTGGTTTCAATATTTGTCTCTGAGACAAGGATATTACTATTGACAGAATCAACCAGGGAATTTAATTTTTCAAGTTAAACCCCGTTATTTTACACATACAGATACATTTCTAAGCGTATTGAATTCGCTTTCTATGTGAAATGTCCTTGACGTTTTTTTTTAATTTCGATGAAATGATTTTGTATTTTTGATTCACAGGCTGGTGTCATTCTCGTATCCCACGACGAGCGTTTAATCAGGCTAGTGTGCACAGAGCTCTGGGTATGTGGCCAAGGATCAGTGCGATGTATTGAAGGTGGTTTCGACGAATACCGCAAGATCATTGAAAAAGAACTCGAAGCTTAGACATGATTTTTTAAACTGGACCTCGCTAATTCAATTCTCACCATTGTGTATTTAAATATTGGGGGCATTAGCCACAAATATTACTGCCTAACGAAAGGCCCATAGGTAATTCGATGTAGGTACGTTTCTACAGATGATTTTGAAATTGAAAATTATGAACTATTTAATAAAAAAAGAACATCAGCAATGACAATTAATGAATCAATAGGAAATTGTTATTTGACTAAGTAATGTAATTATGATCTGTTTAATAGTATTACAATTTTACTGGTCGTTCTAAATGACTATTTATATTTATAAATTATACATTTGGCTATTATGCATAAACTCAACAGCATTTGGAAATCTTCATCGATGTTGAGTTTTATTTGCAGCAATACCAGTGGAAAGAAATAATGTTATATACAAAATAATAATAGATACCCTCCTCACGTGACTCTCAATTTAATGATTAATGAACAATTCATCAACACGCCGAGGATGCTGCATTGTGTTGCCACTGTCTACCCCCAGCTGAAGCGTTCAATTGAATCATGGTACTGGGTGTGGGACTCGATTGCAGAGGTGGTGCCGGTGCTTGTTGTTTTGCCGCTGGAATTTTCGTTTTTCTCATTGTTTTTATTTTCTCAAATCCCAAATGTTTGCTGAGACACATGCTTGTATGCGGTAGCCAGAGTGTCATTAGATGCTCATGATGCAGAGAGAAGAGAACGAAATGATGAAACGATAAATGTTTTGTTAAATGTTAAATAATCATTCAGACTGATCGAATCATTCATCCAAACTGAAAATAAGATATGAGGAATAGGGAGTAGAGAGTGCATTTTCGTATGAATAACCAGAATCAAGAATAGTGCTATTTGAAAATCAAGGTAAATGAACCGATGTATTAAGCGCCCATGCGTTACAAAGCTCATTTACAAATAATAGTTGAATGATAAAATAATCAAAAAAAAAGAAAAGAATAAGACAACTATAATCAATTCTATAATCGTGTTATTAAATATCAAATTGGCAAGATTGACGTTTTAGTGTAAATCCAAATAACGACTGATTGTTAATCTCACCATTTTTACTATTGTAGAATTTTGGTACACCCCGGAATGGCTCTGGCGATGGGAATGTCGCTATCGAGTGAAATTGATCGATAAATCTCGTCTCTAGGTCTTGAGTACTTGTCACAGCGCTTTGACCATTTGATAACGATAGATTCCGTGTTGGTGGTGTGGGTGGAGGTTGAGGTGCTATTCTCTGATGAGTAGTGACGTTTGAACGATGAGGGGGTGGTGGAGGAGGTGGTGGCATACTTGGGGCTGTGACGCAGGTTCTCGAAGGAGGAGGAGGTGCTGCGCGCATTACCGGGCCTGAGACTCCACTGGCATTTCTGGAGGTTGGGGGTGACGGTGGTCGCGCCACTGGTGGCCTCAGAACTCTGTTCATGGGCCTCTGATGTGTCTCGTTCAGACAGTCCTGAGACTGATGGAGTGATGACGAGTTTGGAGCTAGGACAGGGGGTGATCTTGGTAGTCTCATGCTCTGGGCCCTCGATACACCACCTCCACGAAGTAAATCGAGTTTCTTTGGTGGTGGACAGGGCTTCTGGAGGGTCGACGAGCCCGAGACAATGGCTGGAGGAGGAGGTGCTCCTGGAGGCTTTGGGGCCAGTGTTGGCTTGCCAAAGCCCTTGCTTGGCTCCGGGCTACTTTCAGTCTGTATTTGAGGCTTCTGGGCCGCTGGGGGAGGAACTGGTGGTGGACCACGCTTCATCGTTCCAGAGGATTGATTACTCGGGGGTGATGGGACTTCTTTTTCAACAATTGCTGTTCTCAATCCTGTGGGCTTGAGTTTGGGCATTCCTCCGGCGAACAATCCACCTAGACCCATTGGGGCATTTGTGCTCGTGCTATTACCGTTTGAGGAGAGACTCGGAGCCGCTGGCGAGTTGGGACTTGAGCCATTTTTCACTTTTCCTGGAATTTTTCATTTAGTTTAATATCGGGTTAAGGGGGACAGGGGAGGGGGGAGAAGATGAAGCTGAAACTAATTTAAGAGTGTTGAAATATTCTTAAAGGCATACGATTGTTTTGAATTTTTCAACTAGCGAATATTTCACTAGTTTCCGCTTCATGGAAGTGGAGATGGCCTGTGTTTACCTGAGATCGCTGGCGCACTCTTATCAACAGTTACTGTCTTCTTCAACTGCTTTCCAGCTCTAATTGACTGTAATAATTGATTTCTACCCTGTGGATCAGCGCTAGGTGCACTGTTTATGTTAAATGCTGGAGGCGGTGGGGGTGGTGGAGCCGACATTGTTTATTATTTCGAATCTGCATTAATGGAAATACAATGGGTTATTAAACTTCCGAGAATTGTTGTACGATATGATTGATGATTAATCCAATGTCACTGACAAGGATCTACAGCTGACTCACGATTCACTGGGAGTGTCTTGAGTCTTTACCAATACCATTTTGTTATTTATGTGAGCTCTTTGTTTTTTCGTCCATGAAGTTTGATCAATCGCGTGAAACAATCGGTTAAATTGACAAAATCATGAACAATGTTGATGATAGATTATAACTTCACAACGTTAATTCAACTTAATCATATGAAAATGAATGATATGAAGGCATGAAAATGTTTTAACAGTTTTCACATGTTTATAAGATTAGATTATCTTGGGTATTTACCTCCTGAAGAGTTTTAAGTTGGTCTTGACAGAGAAATTGGAGCAATCGCGGTACTTCAAATTAACTCTTCGAAAATGAACACTTGTTAATGCAACATTTGTGCCTTTAATTGCCACTTTTTTATCCTCCTTTCAATGGGTAGGAGGAAAATTTCTATGAAATTCGGGAGAAACGGCGTACAGCCCACACACAAGGCTTTTAATGGTGATTAACTCACGTCCCGTCCTCTCTCGCTCACCCCCACACGGTGCTGGCCATATATTTTATATACGACATTGCATTGCTTCGAGAGAGAGGGCTATATTAGTGCTGTCGAGAATCGTCGGGTGCGCAACAATCGCTTCATGGAATTCACGAACAAAAATGGAAACACAAAAATAATCAACATTATAAAAATCTACTTGATTTTTTTAAAGAGCTAGTGAGTATCGTTTGAATCTACCGTATTTACGAGTATGTCTGCATGTTCGCGTCAGGCACTTCTATTCCACAAAACCCCAATCCCTCAATAAAAAAAAAAAGATGCAGCAAAAACATATCTAATCAATTTCCGAATGAAACCAAACCCAATTATTTGGAAACAATTTGGAATAGCTTAAGAATGCAGTTTTTTCATTTACATTAAACTAATAGTTTATTTATAATTAAATACTTTTGAAATGGACACTGACTTTTTTTAAAATTTAGATGGCTTAGTGAAAAAATTTTTTTCTAAGTTATTAATCCTTCCAAAAAAAAGTCAATTCCACTTGACAAAAATTGAGATGATTTTTTATGAAGCTCGTAAATTTCGTTTGAATCTAGCTCATTTGTGCCCGCGTATTCGCGCCAGACACTGCGATTCGACCACGTACTGATAACACACCAGTCACACGATTCACGCACAACTGCTCATAAAAAATACACAGGCACAAACAGCCACCACAACGTGGCAAATCGGTGACAATATTGTCAGTGATTGCAGCACAGTTGATTCACGGAGTGGTTACAGTGAGTATTTTTTAACAGAGAAAACTATCGATTAGGAATTTATATTTAATCGTCGATTCGCGAATTTAATAACAATATAGGTAGTGAGACGAAGGGTCTTACGAACGAAGCTGATTTCTTTTTTCTCGAAATGAAATGATAGTTGGCGGAATTTACCAAAATTGAGGAATCAGGAGTTACAGCAGTAGGTTACGTCTGGCAGAAATGAATGTTCATCGAGTGCCTTCATCAGTGATTAGAAGTCTACGAAATACTGAATAACGGAATAGGGGTGGTGACTGCTACATGATTTTTAGAGAGAGGAAATTCATCACGTATGTCAATTGGTTTTCGGTGAGTTTCATATTTATTTATTTATTTATTTATTTAGTTATGGGTGAATAATGCAGCCAGTGAATAAGGCCATTTAATATTTCAAGGTTAAAAAAATTGAAGTCTTGTCACAATGAAACGTAAAAATGGTAGACAAGATTCGATAGAGTATGGCCAGCTCGGTGCCAACGATTATCATGAACCTGGTAATGTCCGAGGAGACGAGGGCAATATTGCCCTCCTCTTGTTTTTGTATTTACTCCAGGGAATTCCTCTTGGATTGTGCAGTGCTATTCCCATGATACTCCAGAATAGTCATATTTCATATAAACAACAGGTATAGGTTTTTTTAAATATTCATTCTGCCTGAAAGAGTATGAACATCCCAATCTGTGGGAATATAATAATGTTATGAAATCGTTTATAACTTTTCCTCACTAGGCGGAATTTAGTTTCGTTCTGTGGCCATTCTCCTTAAAACTATTCTGGGCTCCAATCGTTGATGCAATATACTCCCAGAAATTTGGGAGACGAAAGACATGGCTGATACCCATACAGTATACCATGGGTATGTTTATGCTGTACCTGTCGGGACATGTACAGCAGTGGATGAATGACAGTCAGCCGAGTATTGGGTTACTCACCGTATTATTTTTTTCGCTTAATGTGCTTGCGGCTACTCAGGATATTGTTGTCGATGGCTGGGCACTTACGATGTTGAAGAGGTATTCCTACACTGTTGGATGAAAATTAAACTTTCAGCCACTCTTCATTAGGAATTTTCAGGAGAGTGATATTTCGGCAAATTTCTCAATTCATTTCAATTGTCCCGATTTCTCTCAACTTATTCCATAAAATAATTGAACTTAAATTTACAGTTATTGTTGATTTTTCCATAAAACTGAATTTTCAATGACGAAATTTCTCGAAATTTCAATAGAATTATATTTAAGTACATCTCGAGGCATTCTTCATTATCATAAATACTCTACTAAATACTCGTTTCATTTATTTTAGAAACAATGTAGGATATGCTTCCACCTGCAATAGCGTTGGTCAGACTGCAGGGTATTTTTTAGGATATGTTCTTTTCATGGCACTAGAGTCTCCTGAATTTTGTAATGCATATCTTCGCTCTACTCCATCGACTGAGGGACTTATTACACTGCCTGGTAATATTCCTTCCTCTATTACTACGAAATGCTCGCTTTATTCAGTCAATTCTGAGTATATCATTGGAATAAATTTTATTCATTCCTTTCCCAGGATTTTTACACTTTTGGGGCTGGGCTTTTATTGTTTGCACATCAATGGTTGCTATTTTCAAACGTGAAACTGATGAGCAACATTCCCAGACCAATGATCTCTGGGAAGATGTTAAACACTCGTACAGTTTACTCTGGGCTACAATGAAATTACCAACTATTAAAATGACAGCATTGATTCTACTCACTTCCAAGGTAATGATAATAAAACAGCATTAGGTTTCGATACTCGTCATTTTTTCTTATGAATAAATTGTCAATTGAACTTGACCTTACGATCTTTTTCAAACAATTTTATTCAATACTAATTCTAACATATAAAACTTGGATATTTATTCCCTTAGATTGGCTTTTCTGCATGCGATGCAGTGACGGGTTTGAAACTCATAGACGCTGGTGTACCAAAAGAAAAAATAGCCTTGATGGCAGTTCCACTGATACCACTGCAGATTGTCTTGCCACTAGCCATATCTAGACACACTGTGGGCCCTCGACCACTGGATGTCTTTTTAAAAGCCATGCCTTACAGACTCTTATGCGGTCTTATCGCTGCAGGATTGGTGTGGATAACACCGTCCTTCATAAATAATGGCCAAGTATCGCCGTATTATTTTGTCCTCCTTGTTCTCCTATATGTTTTCCATCAGGTAAAACATGAAAGTATTTCCCTGTCGGAGATGGTGTGAACAATTATATTTTATCTACTTTTTTTTATTTTTTACAGATAACAGTAAGTAGTATGTTTGTAGCTTCTATGGCATTTTTCGCCAAAGTGAGTGATCCTACCGTGGGTGGAACTTATATGACATTCTTGAATACACTTTGCAATCTCGGGGGCAATTGGCCCACGACAGCCGCACTTTGGTTTGTCGATGCTCTCACGTGGAAATCGTGCAACAGTGATGCCAATAATGATTGTGGTACACCCACAGCACAAGAGGTAATTATTATGTGAAATATTGTGTCACGTATGAAAAAAAAATACAATTCCATAAAAATTCTCAATTCAATCAAAATTTCCTTGAGATTGTATTGAAAATTCCTAGGCATAAAATTTCAAATAGCGGAAAATTCATTGAATTTTTCTACTGAATTAAAAAAATGCTCATTCGTCGAAAATGGCATTGGCAATTCCATATTTTTCCTTACTCCTCAGCAATGTGAGCTCAATGGCAAGTGCATCACACGACTGGACGGATTCTACCTTGAGAGTATCGTCTGTGTAATAATTGGGGTCGTATGGTTCAGATGGGGAAAGAGGAAAATAAATTACTTGCAGTCCAGACCGATGACTGATTGGAAAGTTGTGCCGCACAGGAGTTAACGTTTACTGGTTGTCTAGATTTTTATTCATAATAATTCATCCGATTGTTTCATTAACTCCTCCATATACATTTATTTATTAAACAGTCAAATAAGGGAATATTTTCGGTTGAATCTGATGTGTAAATAATTTATTTGATATTTCAAAATTTGATGAACTGTCCATATTAGCACAATATTGACCCAAATTGTTCTTTCTATTATGATTTGCATCATCATTCCAACAATTTTAATAAATCATGTTTTTAGGCAAATTCTTTTAACATTTAAAAAATGTAAATAAAGTGGAAACAATTTATTTAACATTGAGATTTTATTGATTTCATTTTTATTATTTATTCTCTTTGCTTTAATCACATTTTTCACTGATTCCACACTTGATGCTGCGTATACTTCTCTTGAGAGGTGGATGATCGTTGAAGAGAATTTTTATAATGACTCCAGTTTCATCACTAGTCCAACCAGCTCCCGGTTCAGGGCCAGAGCCATCCACTGATTCTGAAGTAGTCGAAACCTGCGATTTGGGTGTTCTTGTAGTTAGCGTTTCTTCTTGAGTTTCATCTCTCCAGGGTTGACGCAACTTCTCTCCCCTGCGGAGTACAGGGCACCCAGGGGCATCATCGTCGTCGTTGTCGTCATCGTGAGACACATATGGTCCAAACCGATGGCACGTACCGTTCGCAATTGCATTGACAAGTATGTAGACTATTGAGAAATTGATAATTAACGACAACAATCTGCACATGATGCTGTTGCAGTTGAGAATTGCACTGCAAGTGTAATGTCCCTGGGCGGCCTAATCTTTATGGGATATTTGGTGTTCATTCCTGTCATTATTAATCACTTGGGACACTTTTACACCCGTTATTACTGGATGATGGATTGTTAATTAGGAAAATACGTGGACATTCACATTAAAAAAAAAAAACTCTTGTCATGGTATGGTATTGTCGAGGTATGGATCGTGCGTTTTGATGTCGATACTGTGAAAAATGACGACGAAAAATTTTAAAAATTCTCAACATACAACATTGATCAAATTAGATGTATTTCTCGGAAATTGTACAACATTAATCATAGACCAAAATAGCGAGCGCTGGATTCCCTATTATAGGCCTATGGTCCAACATAAAATATGAATAGATCAACACTTTTCACCCGCTAATAATTCATTTCATCTCGAGAAAAATATAGAAAATCTAACGTTCATTGTACGCTCAGCGACTGTTGGATGATGTATCGAATGTAATGAGTGTGATGAATGCAGTCTTTTTTTGTTCCAACGAAAATTGTGAAAGGTTCGGGATATTTGTATTCCTAAACTAAAATGACTAGTCAGCAATAGGGACTTGTACTTGACTGAAGAATTAACGATTGTACGAGTCACTCGTTAAAATCGGTTGTTTGTCGGGATTTCTTTGAAATTGCGAGCGTGCCGCCTTGAACTTTACACCCGAGGTCCATTTACTGCGTGCTTGAGCTTGCTCTGCTTCCAGGGTAGTCATGAGAACGGAATAGGAATTGGGACCGGTCGCCTCGATACTGTGGTGAATGCCATACAAGAAGTAGATGAACATTCCTGCGATAGAAAAGAGAAATCAATTTTTTTTATCGCTTTGAAGAGTAAATCATTTTAATTGACCTTGAAAAAAAATAAAAATACAAGATGAAAAATGGAAATTACCGATAAACATCCAGATGAGAAATCGGAACCAAGTCAAGATATGCAAGTGGCTGACAAGTAGAACGTTTGTGTAGATGCTGAGGGCAGGGATCCAGGGAACGAGAGGGACTCGAAATTTATCGTTAGCCGGAGGGGACTGTTCGTGAGCTCCAATAACAAGAAGACTGGCTATTGTGACCAGAAGCATGTAGACGTAGAGGATATCGTCCCACCAAGTTTCCATTTTCATGACTGTGAGGATACAGATGCAGGCACATCCCCCGGTGTAGATTATGACAGCTGCAACTACGGCTGTTCCAGGTTCCCAGGAGCCAATTATGTTAGTCAGCCACGTGTAGCGTTTCTTCAAACGACCAACAGGATTCAAATGCTCACTCTCCAATAGCTGAAAGTTATTTTCAAAACCATAAGAGCGTGTGCAGCGCCACAATTTTCTAATCTAAATTTTTTCGCACGTGGACACATCAAGAAAAATCCTACCTCAGAATGATCAGGCGATGAGGATCCAGTAGTGCTGCTACTAGTCGTGGAGCTATCACTTCCAGGCGATTCCAATTCACTCGTCTTATCCTTGCACCTCAAGCTCTGATGAGGGAGTCCGTCGAGACAGTGATACGGTCGATATCGAAGAACAATGACACTTGCAGAGACGATGGTGTACGCAAGGAACGTACCGATGGACATGAACTCCACCAAATGCCGAAGATCAAACAATAACGCTATAACCGCACTGAGGACTCCACTGATAGCCAGGGTAATCAGGGGAATTTGCGTTCTCTCATTAACTCGAGCCAGAAATGAGAAGAGCAAGCCATCACTGGCCATGGCGTACATGATCCTCGGCAGGGAGAAGAGAGAGCCGAATAAAGTTGTCGTCATACCACAGAGTGCGCCGATACTGATTACGTATTTAGCCCAGGTGACACCGTTGGCGGCGAAGGCCTCTGGCAATGCAGCACTCGGATTGATGTCTCCATAGGGCACAATCAGGGTGAGCATTCCACTGAGGGTGACGTATCCTAGGGTGACAATAGCCATTGATAGAGCCGTTGCTCTGGGAATACTCTGACTGGGTTCTCGTGCCTCTTCTCCAGAACTGGCGATCGAATCGAAACCGACGAATGCGTAGAAGCAACTGGCAGCACCAGCTAAAACTCCGCTCAAACCGAAGGGGAGGAATCCACCGTGTGCGGAGTTCACCCAGTTATCCAAGTCGGCGTATTGAAATCCGAGACCAATGACGAGGAGAATCACTCCGAGATTGACAAGGGTCAGGGCGGAGTTGAGTCTGGCTGAGGCCTTGACGCCGCAACCGAGAAGAAGAGCGTAAAAGAGGCAGAGGAGTGCGGCCAGAGGATCAGGTACATGAGCCAGGGGTTCGCCCATTTCGAACCCTGAAAATGCCTCTTGTGTCCAATTACTGACAACTCCACCGGATAACGAGTCAACGTAGCCGGACCACGCTCGGGCGACTGACGCCGCTCCGATCATGTGCTCGAGGATGATGTTCCAGCCGATTACGAAAGCCCAGAATTCACCGACGGATACGTAAGTATAGACGTACGCACTGCCGGCTCTTGGGACTCGAGCCCCGAATTCCGCGTAGCAGAAGGCTGCAAGGAGCGAGGCAAGCCCAGCCAGGAGAAACGAAAGAATTACTGCGGGACCTGCTATGTCGTGGGCTACACTACCGGTGAGAACGTATATCCCGGCACCGACCATGTGTCCAACCCCTGGCAACAGATATTCATTATAATAATTAAATGATTGATCGATTAATTCTCTATTTCGGAGAAAAAACTCCAGGATCAATTGTTTCACTATCTCTACACTTATATTACCCAATAGAGTCATATCGAATGTTGTTAAACATCGTTTTAACGGAGTTTCCATCGAGTCCCCATCCAATCGTTTCGTTCGATTCATCTTGGAGCACATTCCAGACATCACGTGCCCGAGGATCATTCTCCTGACCGACGGCATTTCGCCTAGGAATATTACATGAATGGATGTATTAATTATTCAGAGAGAACAGCTGTCTTCTGCACGTGCTATTGATTTGACACCATTCTCATCTCGTATTAAAAGCGAAGATTTTTCGTGATTATTACCTTTTGGAGTACTATTCCGGTTTATTTATCGATGATGACACTGACTACTTCGGGGATGCTACGGTGTTTTTGTGTACTCCAGGCATCGAGGGCATGAAAAATTGACTATTTGCCGATGATGCGTAGGTGTTTTCCAGTACGCAAACTCCTCGAGCGATCGATCAACTCGACGGGGGTATTCTCGGGGATGACTCCTACGCATCTACGGGTCGAGATCACCGTACAGTGATTCCAACCGTATTTTCAGTATTTTCAATAAATAAACAAGAGCAAATTCAAAATCATTGACGAATTAGAGATGTAAAAAATAAATGGAGACATTTTTATTCATCCAAATACTGCGAAAACTCAAATTTTCATCGTTCATCATTTTTACATTCATCGAGATGGTCAAAAAAATATGGAATTATTTAATCAAACATTTAAAAGACATGATATTAAGGCACTTGCTTTGCTCGTAAGAATCGCACGATATTATTGAATAATTTTTGTGGTCAGAGCCGGGAGGCAAGTCGTTTATTTATAATATTAAAAAGTAATACCAGGAAAATTGATCAGTAAAAACTGTGGCCTCCTTTAAATTACCCAGCGGAAATTGTCCCGCTGAAAAATTAAATTTCATCTTCGCCGGACCGCAGCGCCAAGATCGAGGCGGTCTCTCGGCGCTCTCGGCGTCTCGGCTCTCTCGAGCGGGCACCAGGCACGTGAGCAGTGAGTTTTACAACCGCATTAAAAATAATAATAATTCATTAATAACACCGTCAAAAGTGGATTTTCATTTGCAATAATGCATCCAGTAAACAGTAACTCATCCGAGTTCAATAAAAGTGGAGAGTAATGGTGTATTACTCATGTGCTCACGTGAAAAGTGACATTGGAATCCGAGTTTGGTTAGGATTGAGCCCCTCGAAAACGCGGGAGATGATTCTAATTAATTTTCCCATTAATTCGACCAGATAAATTGTACCTAAAGCCATCACCTCGTGGTTAGCACTGTCGTATATATATTTTAATGAAGATTTTTTAATAATGGAAATGCAAGAGCATTTGTTATTTAATTGTGCGTCCATCGTCGCGACGATACTCGCCACCACGACTGCTGTTATTATCATAATAAATAAATTGCGGTGAGTAAAATTTGAACGTAAAATCGCAATGACAAAATTCTTATGAAATTATTGACATGTTTGATTTGTCTAGATCACGATGGCCAGTGAAGGTTAATTGTTGGTTCTGCAACGTCAACACCAAGATATGGAGATCAGAGATAGACTGGTGGCAGTGCCCATCATGCCAGCAGTTCAACGGCTTCTCCGAGGATGGCGATTACAATTTTGACATTCCCGAGCAACGGAGGAGATCATTGAATGATTTGAGTGTTTACTCGGCCTCTTGCAGGCCTGAAAAACCTCAAATAAAAAATGAAGAGACTCTCTGCAGGAGTTGCAATCGCAACGAGGAGTTGAAAATCTGTCAAATGCGCCTCCTCGATCCCCTGAGTTTATCCAGAAAAGAGATAAAAAGATGTCGAGAATCTCTGGAGAAGGAGTACCCGCTCTGCAGAAGGTGTAATTCACTCGTCAAGAGTGTTTTACAGAAGCAAGCTGTCTGGCTAACCCAGTACAAAATGCTAATTTTTAAACAAAGGCCCATAAGCCTCATTGTTAGCAATTCAGAAAAGTTGGAGAAACTTTGTAGAATTATTTTAATAGTATTAAGTTCATTGATCATAGGGTGTCCAACGTCACAAGCACTGCCAATGGTCGGAGCAGTATTGCAATTCTTCACTGCCACGAGTAATTTCAATTCCAGAAATAGTCATCACTTGTTGTTAGTTATAATGTGGCTAGGGGTCTGTATGCTCATGCCATTTTGTGAGGAGCGTCTGGTGCGGATCAAGTGGAGGAGCCAATGGCTACCGTTGGAACACGTCACTGGGTATCAAGTCATAACGTTTATATCCACCATTTTGGGATTCATCAATGCAACATCTAGTTCATCACCCTCTGGTCCTAATTTATCATTCAAAAAAATGGATCTGAATATTTCTTCCAATTCCTCGAGAGATGAACTCGACAATTACCTAAATGACGACGAAATGGAGACCCAGGAGAGGAAATCACCAGTGAATATCACCCATTTGTTGACGTCGCCATCACCCCTAGAAACCCCAGCACCAATCAAGCCAGTGTTGACTTCAAATTTGAAGATTTGTAACAGTCAACTCGGTTTGGCAAACTTGGACAGTCATTCCGATACCTTCGACCCCCTTTGGAAGCAGTCTGGGGTTCATCATGAGAACACATCACTGAACGATAGTCTGAGAACACTCAGCAGTCTCTCCCTCAACGGGAGGGACGAAAAAATCAGCTCCAGGAGTTCCAAAGTTTTCGAAACCCGAACATATGGCACCACGAGTCCAGATTTATTCAAGAGGAACTTCCAGACTTGTAAGAAATTTGTGTTATCACCACCAAAATTGAAATCAGTTTCTCAGAACTCGTGGGTGGCAGGGGGTTACTGGCAAATGGGACTGGACAGACCCACGCTGTCTCGTTCCTCTAGCCAGAGCTCAGGCTTCGGCTCCACAGGCTCCAACTTTGCTTCTTCCAGAGAACCCTCTGTTGTCAATGACGTCGACAGGTACTCAGTTATGTCCGATACAACTCTCTGCTGCAATTATCTCAACAACGTGAGTCCTGTGAATTCATTTTGCCAGTATACTTCTACTTCATCACCGTACAGGGTGATTGGGCCAGAGATTCCAATTTGCTTCAGTCCTTCACAGAGTCTGTTGTCCAATGGATCTTGTGGGCAGATGTCACAGCGCACTCTTTGCCACAGTCATCACAATCAGCTGATGAAAAATAGCCCAGTGATGGTGCAGCAGCCTTCTGAAGCACCTGTTTGTGTTAATCATCCTACAACGGTTTTAACGAGTCCTGTGTGGTTACCTGCACTTGTCTGCGGCTCACTCGTGTTCAATGTCATCGTTTTCTGTACTATCTTACTTCGCTGATTGAGATGTCTGGATTGTCTTTGCAACGGGTGAAACTGTATTTTCATAACAATTCTATGAATTTCCAACAGATTAATTTTTTTTACATTCAATAGTGCACGAGTGAAAAAATTTAATAGAAAAATCTCGCACTTTCTTTGAGAAATACTATTAAATTTATATTGGGATTATATTTAAAAAATTTGTTTTTGGCGGCAATTCTATTGAAGACTATGTAATTTTACTGGGTATGCAAAGTTATATGCAAATATCTACTGGAAAACGCGTGTAAAAGTTTCATAGGTAAAGCGCTGGGATTTTTGGTTGAATTTTTTCATACATGTCTACATTTTTGTTCCTGACTATACTGCCAACCGATTGTTATTCATGATAAACGAGTGATGATGTAAATACATAGGTTTTAGGATACTCCGTAATACGATTGAGTGCATCTCAACGAGATAAATAATTTTGAGGGACATTGATTAATGGATACACTCAAAATCTTGTGATAACTGTAACTATCTTAATGTGTGTTCACTAGGGTAAGCGGATACGGGTAGAGGAATCACTGATACTTTGGAAACGCTATTGAATTGTACGATCAAGTGAATTATACATGAGCTTTTTTGGATATTAATTTTGTCAGTCCTCGGCCATGAAATAAAGCTGGAGCAAATAATTACAGAACTTGAAATTTTTTCTTATTGTAACACAATTTGCATATCGATATATTCAGTACTACAGTGCTTCCGCATACTAATGAGAATGGTGTGAAGACTTTTGTTATATTACAATTTTTAAAAATATTTTCTACGCCGCCAAGTCGACCTTTGATGAAGACATTGTATTGAATAAATTAATAATTATGTATCATGAATTTCGTTACAACTCGTACAAATATCAGATACACATTTTGTTTCTCATGCGTCCCTGCGTGGCGCCCTTACTTAATCTGAATGACTCGTGTTATTGAGGGAATCCATTGAATAAAGTTTTTTTTTTTAATAAGAATCTGTTGTCTCAGTGTTTTAATCCATGAATCTTCTCTTGTAGAATATTGAGTCTGTGATACCCATGAGTAAACTGACGACCCCATTTGGTATCCAAATCGATATTCAGGTGACGTAGATCTGGTTTATTCATATCAGCGCGTTTCCGAGGATACCTTTGATAATATCATGTTAACTTTACACTTCAAGTGACTTTGTAACAACTCTTACAACCTTTTATCGTTGGGTATCTTTTTTTTAGTGTAATCACATCGGTAGTGGCTGCGAGGAAGATCCTTCGCTTCTTGAACGAGTTCTTCGTCCCTTCGTTGGATGTATTCTTTGTAGCCATAGCCGTATTGATTGCCGAAATTTTTTGAGAGGTCTTGCTCAGGAACGTACATTCTCTTGCTTTGAATAATTATTGATGACATTAAGAGGAGATTACGGGCAAGTGTAACTTGGGAAAAAATATTTTTCATTTTCTTAAATATAGCATCTCTCTCATTTTTCATAATTAAGAAGCGAATATTGGGAATAATATTCTAATTGAACGGAATTGAAATTTATTCTGTAGTACCATGCATTATATTTTCGCTGAGGGGGTCCATTCAAACCAGTCGGAAGCACTCTATAACTCAGATCATAGGCAGTAGAAAAATTATTGTGGTAGGCATCCCCATGATGTTCTAAGAGTTCTTCACGACTCACTCCCTATTAGGAAAATAATAACAAAATATTCCGAGTAAATGTACACGAGGCTGGGAATCCTGAATTACTTTACTCCTCTCTTTGAACTCGTTTGCAGCCTTGCGAGTCTCTAAGGTAATATTGAAATTCTCGTTGCTGTGGGGTTTGAAGAGGGCATTGTAAGAGCTCTCCCATTCATCCGGCGGGGGTTTGTATTGAGCGCGCTCCTCGAACCAATTTCCATGCAAAACTTTTGAGCAATATCTCGGCTCACTGATTTTCAAAGTCTCATTCTTTCTGGTTTGACTGAAGATTTTGCTCTTCAGTAAATTTAAATTTGAGAGTTGGAAACAGTTTTCGCAATTTAATGTGTCGCAGGGATCGAATAGAAAGGAATTCATGCTTATGGGGACTTTGGTAGGAATTTTGATGGAGATGCATTTGAAAACATTGAAATTGCGGCTGTTGTCATGGGAAAACAACGGAATTATGAATTTTTTCTCGCAGAATTCTCAACTGTATTATTGATTACGCAGTAAAAATCAATACATTTTTAAAATTATAGGTGAAATTCATTCTAAAATTATCAATATTTTCATGTTCTGACATCTATGTGAAAAAATGCAAAAGAAATTGATAAAATTAGTCATAAATAATTACGAATGAAGACAATTTCTAATTCACAAAATGTTAGAATTTGGGGACAATCAGTACATACTGCTTTATTGTGATAAGAACACAGACAATATCTACATTGTGTCGATAATTTCAGATGTTCAGATCGTATTCAAATGAATTATTCGTTCCAAATCCTTCGCAATTGCACGAGAAATTGAAAACAGTCATTCAACTGGGCCGTTCATTAGTCATACGGTCTCGCGATTATGTGTATAATAATATAGGATGCATTTCTCTGATTTAATAATGTTATGAAAAATAATCTGTTCGTTCCAGAGTTTTTTCAAATTTTGCATTTATTTCTCTGAAATTTTTCGACGATGCCGCCGTCGATGCGCCAACGAGCTCATTCTTCTCATATATATGTTCTATCTTGTTCTCCTTCACAATTTTTTTAATAGTTATCGGCCATACAAATGTGCTGTTCCTTAGCTGAATCCATTGTCTGTGCATGCCCAAAAATGCAACTTAATTATGCTTACAAATTCTTTTGAAATATAACTTCTTCAATTGAATTCAATTTGAATTGAAACATTTTCATATAATTCACCTCCTCATCTGAGATGCACTTTGATGAGATACAAAGTAAATGATTAATAATGCCTTTCTGGTAATGAAGATTCGGATTAATAAATAGGACTCTTTAAATTAATCTAAATATCAACGTTCCTGTTGATGCAAAATAGTTTGAATAAATTTCTATTCGAATTAATCACTTTGCTTCATTCTCCATGGAAAATATAGGTATCGATAAAATATGAAGTGCATGACGACTGGACTGGTATCGGGAAGGACTATAACTGTGCGACAGATTTTTTTTTGTTTAAAAATGATGAATATTTATACATACAGACACATTATTGCATTGTAAAAATGAAAAGTTGGGGGGAATATCTCGAGTTTCAATCGCAACGGAATTTTATTGGTGCAATTGCATTAATTAAGGATGAAATAACAGAGCCAAGTCGTCATGAAAAAAAAATCAGGATTATTAATCAACGCAGGCATAATAAAATAGTCTGCAAAATCAATACAATATCAATTTGTTCCTACCTAGAATTGCAAGCTCGCCTGTCGAGCGTTCCAGGCTCGTGTCACAGATTTCTTCTAATTCTTTTTCAAATGATCAATCATAACATACGATACCATGTTGCGTCATTCACAGACATGATATCAAGTACGTGTGGCTCGTAAGTTACAAATAATATAAATACAGCAGCCAAATTTTTTTTTTAAATAACTAAAGCACTTTTAATCATTCTCTTCTTTAAGCTCAGTAATCGTGAAAATATTAGGATAAAAATTGTCATTATGTCAGCTTTCAATGTCATTATGCACAATCGTTGCACCAGAATTGACAAAAACAATTATTCACCAGGCGTCCCAAGGTATTTCAACTCTTGGTTCAATTTTCAATAAATATAATGACATTAGCAACGTCAAGGATCGAAAGGAAATTTCAAGCGGTTTGGACAATTAATTTCTGATGAATTCAGAATTCTGTATAATTTTCAGTACTATTGCGTGTATTCCGAAAATTTCATAGAAAATATCATATAAATAAATATTCGAGTGGGACATTCGAGATGGGTTACCCATGCTTCATGATTTATTTTCCTTGATGAATCATAAAAATTTGACATTACCACAGGAGAATAAATGCCCGAGGGAAGACAGTTTCAATTTCTGAATCTAAAAATCGCAGTGGAGAGACTTGAACGCTTAACTGCTATTAAGCGAGTCCTCCCAACTGATTCGCTGCATCAAAACTGTCTTCAGGGACAAGATCAATCACCCAATAAATTACCAATAAGCAAAAGAATGAAGGTGTCATTTCATTAACATCTTTTGCAATTTGGAATACACATAAGCCACAGTCATTCTCACAATCCAGCAACTGCATGTCCAATCGCATTCAACTGCACATGAAATACTATTGCATCTCAATTTAGTTATTTCAACTCTGGCAATTGTTAAACTAGGTCGAATGATGATTGCGTCTAGGCCAGAGTCTATTGCTTGTCATTCATTTCATCTTTATTTTCGTCTTTGTGGAATCAAACCCGGCAACAAAATGCGTAATAAAAATGATTCTTCCCATCTGTGCCTAGGATATTGAATTTCCATGTAATAATTAATCATTGTTGATCAACGATACAAGTCAGTGCATAATTAGAAAGCTTCCTGAACATAATGCGTCGACTCGATCATGAATTGTAATATCCGCACAGCATAAATCGATCGATTTTTGTCTCAAATGATTTACCGCGCACATTTTATTTCATCTCCTTTAAATTAAATAATTTATAAAAATCAACTATTTACAAATCGATAAGACATGCAGTATTACATAGTAAACTTAATGTTATCTAATTTTAGCCAGTACTAAGCACATGCTTATTATTTTTTCATTTTTTTCTCGTTTTTCTTACTTCATTTTTTCTTCAAGTTTTGCTCTGTTGAATAAAAGAAACGGATGGTGCTCGTTGCGAATAGTAGTACTTCTATAACCCTTATTCATATATAATGTTTTTTTGTTTTGTTTTACCGTAATCGTTTATGTGTAAGAATTGTAAATTATGTCCATCTCTGGAATCCGTTTCTTCTCATCGGTGAATGCATTCTTGCGTTCGTTCTCTGTAAAAGTGAAGAATTTTTTGTTTTTTCAGGTTACGCTCACGACCGGGGAGATTCCACATCTATTGAGGAAAAACAAAAAGAAAGAAAAAGAAAAATGAAAATAATGATCATTCAACGTAAGGAAAGAAATACAAAAATCAATAGTCTAAGGGATAATTAGTGAGTGGTAAAATGTTTATTTACCTCGATTTCCAGTCCTAATAACATTGAGTCCGCCGCCATGGTGTTGTCCAGCACGAATTGGCTTGGCAATTTGGGCGCTGGGTCCACGTCGTGACAAGTTCTTTTGCCGAACAGCCTCCTTAATCCTATCAACTTCATACTGGTAACGTTTACGATCTCTCATTGCACCCTCTTTGGCATCACGCAGTGCAGTCTCAAGAGCCTTTACACGCTCAACAGTTGCTCTCAACCTCTTCTCAAGTTTAGGTAATTCACACCGTAGATCGGCATTGTCTCTGACAAGTTGCTTATGGACCTTGGTCAACTGATCAAGATTATTCTCGAGGAATGAGATCTTTTGTTTCTGCGCCAATGAGCCACCGTCATCCTCATTGTCCTCAGCATTAGCAGTTTTCTTCATTCTGACCTGGAGATCCTGGACAAATAGTTTGCGCAAATTGTGCAGTGTCTGGAGTTCTTTGGCAACAGTGTCCTCCAATCCCTTGAGATCCTTTCGCGCTTGTTCACGGCGTTCGTTCATCATGATGAGTTCCTGGAGTTTCAAGGATTTCTCAGCCTCCTCCTGCTTCAATCGTTCGTAGTCAGCCTGCATCTGCTGGTGGGCGAGCGTGAATTTCTGGTTGAGATCCTTGAGTTCACTGATCATCTCCTGCTTTTCTGAGATTTCGTCCCTGAGGGCTGCCACTTGTTTTTGGTGAACGTCACGCAGCTGATCCATCTGCTCCTCGAGGGCCACACGCATCTTCGTCGCCGCCTCCTTCTCCTCTGCCTTCTCTTTGTTGCTGACAGCCTGGACCTGCTCAGCAGCCTTCAATTTGGCGCACTCTTCCCGCATTGCGTCGACATCCTCCTCGAGCTGACGCTTCCTGGCGTCAGCCTCCTTGATCGACTCTGTGAGAGTCTGCATGCGTGCCTCGTGCTGGGAGATCAATAGTCGACACTCACCCAGTTCTTTCTCATACTCTGATATCTGGAAATTGACATTTTTAAAAATGTCAATGACAATTTTTCAACGATTAACAATAAAATTGGACTTGACATAAATCATACCTTTTTGTTACAATCAACCTGGAACGTTTCCAATCCCTGACAACGCTGCACCAAATTCTTCACTTCTGACTTCATTTTGCTAATGTATAATCTAGCGACTGTGAATTCCTCCTCGAGTTTTCCATTTGAATCGGGCGTGATCTGACACTGAAAAATAAAAATTATTAAATAAAGATTGATTTTGAGTTGAAAAAAAAAAGAAAAAAAAGACAATTGACCAGTTAAAAACATGAAAACCATGGAATATTTACTTTGAGATTCTCGTCTCCTCCAATAGCAACCCCAATCTCCCCAAGATCCTTCAGAAGATTGGTCAACATCTCCGCAGTTCGTTTACGCTGATGAGTGGACATATCCCGTAACTGCTGAAGCTCGGACGTGGTAGAATTGAGAGCAGTCTGTTTAGCGAGAAGCTCTTCAGTGAGTGCCTCGTGCTCCTTATTCTTCATCTCGACCTCCTGGGACTTTTGATCGTAATTAACCGCCAATTCCTCGAGCGCCTGGAGCACCTCCTTGACCTCCTCCTTAGCACTTTCAGTTTCCTGATTGATGGTGCTCATCTCCTGCTGCAGCTGTTCATAATCCCTGCGAGCACTGGCAATGAGTTCCTCCTGTTCCTCCAGCTGCTCCTTGAGTTTCTCGAGGTACTGGCTCTGCTGATTGATTTCCTCGTCCTTGTCGTCGAGCTGCTGGAATAATCGCTCCCTCTCCTCCTCGAGTTTCTGTCGCTCCTCATTGGATAATGAACCAGCCATTAAGCCACCACCAGGAACAGCTGGAATTGGCCCATCTGGAACCTTGGAGTCAACCTTTCCTTCAATCGGAATTGGTGTGATGACGTCTGGAGCCTCAACGAGATTAACCTGCTCCTCTGGTTTGACAGTCTCTCCTTGTCTCCAACGAGACAGCTCGTACTCCAACTTCTCGACTTTTCCCTTCAACCTCGCAGCCTTCTCCTTCTCACGTTCATAACGTCGCTTCCACTCTTCAGCCGTCAACTCCTCATTGACACAGACAACGTTCTTGATCGTCTTTGCACGTTTACCAAAGTCCAGAGTGGATTTTGTCTCAGACTCATTGAAACTTGCTGGTGAACAACAAATAATGATTGTTGTTCTTGCGTTACCACCGAGGGACTCCTGGAGAATTCTCGTCAACTTGGAGTCACGATACGGTATGTGTGTTTTATTACCATCTGCAAGGGCTGAGATGACGTTACCCAGGGCAGACAGTGACTTATTAATATTCTTCGCCTCGTCCAGAACCGTTCCCTCAGCACCAGTCTTCGACACCTTCTCAGACCCAGCCAAATCGACGAGGTACAGTTTACCAGACAATTTTTTCTGATTCTCCAGATTCTCCTGCTTCACGTTGATCAGAAATACTGAGTGCGAACGAGAACTGTGTTCGTTCATATTCGTAACTGCTATATGTCGATTTGACTTTCCTTCTTCGATCACTTCAAATACTTCCTCGGGACTAGATACGAAACGCTCGGTTGCACCTTTCACGAATGGTACTCGGTTCTTGTCTTCGTGAACACTCAAGTTCACTTTGGATACGTCGAGCAAATCTCTGATCTTGTCCATGTAAATCTCGAAGTAGGAGACTTTTATGTGAAACTCGAGATTCTCCTCCATTCCGTAAATGTGATTGAAAATGTCGTTGACAATTCGTGGGATGATTCCTTGCTTGTTTGGATCACCAATAACGCCCTCCATTGTGTGCGTTTTACCTATTGTTTTTCATTGGATGTTAGTTCAAGCAGTCAATGATGTTGATACAAATGATAACGAGTTACTCAGCCATCAGCATAATCATGATTTTGAAATTCACAATTGACAATTTTCATTATTCATTACATTGTTAATTCTCATCTCTCAGTGAATAGATTACCAAATTTCAATTATTTGTAAAATGATTTTTGCCGGTCTCTGGAATTACTTGAAAATGAAATTTTGCAGGGAAAATTGTCGTTCGAAGATAAAAGACCACCGCCCTGTGATATTTATTTGGAATAATTTCAAATGGGTGCGAAAAATTAATTGCAATATGAGGCAGAAAAATTCGCTGCAGACATGAGCTGTAATTTTGAGTTTAAAATTTATGTGAACCGCATAGTGGCCAGAATATGAGCATAGTTTGTCAACAATAAAAATAGCCATAGAATTCTTTACGAGTGAATTTTTCATGTTTTTCTTCCAACAAAAATTCTCCCACGACAGAGACCAAGACATTAACGTCTCCTTTTAAAAGACAAAAACTACGTAAAAAATTACCTGACGAAGTCTGTCCATAGGCGAATATTGTACCGTTGTAACCCGCCAGAACGTCCGTAACAATTGATTTAGCAGCTTCATTATAGACTTTGTCTTGCGTTGCATTTGGTTTAAATACTTTGTCGAATAAATAAACTTTTCCCTGAAATTAAATAATCGCCAAAATGAGGACATTAAATTGGACAACTATTATCTTCTGCGTCAGGTGAGGAATGACTCACTCATGTGTACCCAGGGATTTATTATTTACAGAGCGCAGGAAATGATGGCAATGATGAGTGAAATGTTTCTTCATTTTCCTCAGGAATACAACGAAATAGCAAAACGAATGTGAAAGTTGGAAAGGGTGGAAAGAATGGTAATAATGAGTATTCGATACAAAACGGAGTAGACTCCGCTGAACTGTCAGCTGTGCGCCGTCGCGTACCCATGCGAATAACCCATATCACGATATGATGAAATGAATCTCAAATGTTTTAAAGTGAAAGCTCGAAGAATACTCACCCCAATGGAGATGCAATTTTCATCTCCCCCAGATGGAAATTTAACGACAAATTTCGAGCCAGCCTTCTCCTCGGAGTCATTCAGTGGCCGAAATCTACAGACCACCTTGATGCTGTCCTCAGCGGCGATCTCACGTTCTCTCGGCGTATCCATTTTTCCTTAGTCAATTCTGTTTAATTCGATGAACTGATTTTAAATACCACGACGTACCAGAGAGAACCTCGTCCTCGTGACTCGTTGATTCTTTTTCAAATATCATAGGCAAGGGAACTATTCAAATAGACGGAGGCATGAACAAAAGTTACTCTACTGTCAGACCACGGCCCGTATTCAACACCAAGATGGCCGACCGTCGATTCTTATACCCATTACCAATATCGCCACGAGCGGCCCTCTGTCTCTGGTAGGGAGTTGTTGGGGGGGGGGGG